GAGTTGCCCCTTATCTCCCAACATATTTATCTCTGTCCATCACCCCACTATTGTTTCAATTTGTCACTCTCCTTTTTGAAATGATGTCCAAACCAGACACACAGTAATAAACTCAGAGAGAGTTTATTCTTTCTTGGGAAAGATTCCATGGATGAAAATCCTAAAGGGGAAAACAACTCAAGAATCTTGGGAAACTCTAAAAAGTATGATCATAGAAGCCCAGACCAGCACAATACCACTGAGAAAGAAAAACAAGAAATCAAAGAAGAAACCAGTATGGCTGCACAAAGATCTCTCTGGCAAATTGAAAGAAAAAAAGGACAAGAACAAAAAAATGGAAAGAAGGACATACAACTAAGGCAGAATATCAGCAGATAGCCAGAATCTGCAAAGACGAAGTCAGGATAGCAAAGGCTCAGAACGAACAAAGACTTGCAACAAAAGGCAAAGATAATTAAAAAAGTTTCTTCCAACATATAAATAACAAGAAAAAAATCAAGGAAACAGTCTGTCCACAAAAGAGAGAGGATGGCAAGGAAGTAACAGGCAACAGAGAGAAAGCAGAACTGCTTAACTCATTCTTTGCATCTGTCTTCATGCAAAAAGAAACTATAGCTCAACCCACCAAAAACAACTCTAAAAGACAGACCAGAAATAAAAGTTAAAATAAGCAAAAAATTAATAAGAGAACACCTGTCTGATCTTGATGAAAACAAATCACCAGGGCCTGATGGATTATATCCCAGAGTTTTAAAGGAGCTGGCAGAGGTCATCTCAGAACCACTGCACCATATCTTTCAAAAATCCTGGCACACCAGGGAACTACCAGAGGACTAGAAAAGAGCTGATGTGGTTCCCATCTTCAAAAAAGGGGGGGAAAAGACCCAGGAAACTATAGACCAATCAGCCTAACATCAATACCTGGAAAGATACTGGAAAAGATAATAAAAAACCAGATCTGCCAACATCTAGAAACAAGTGAAGTAATAACTAGCAGTCAGCATGGGTTTGTTAAAAACAGATTATGCCAAACCAATCTTATTTCATTCTTCAACACAGTGACTAAATTAGTAGACCAACAAAATACTGTGGACATAATATATTTAGATTTCAGCAAGGCATTCGATAAAGTAAGACCACAACCTACTTCTTAGTAAGCTAGAAAAAGGTGGAATAGATAGCACCACCACTAGATGGATTCGCAACTGGCTGGCAAACCGTATTCAATGAGTAGTCCTTAATGGGTCTAAGTCTACATGGAGGGAAGTAAGCAGTGGGATGCCACAAGGTTCTGTCTTAGGCCCAGTACTCTTCAATATCTTCATTAACGACTTAGATGAGGGAATAGAAGGGGAACTTACCAAATTTGCAGATGATACTAAGCTGGCAGGAATAGCTAACACCCAAGAAGATAGGCTCAAGATCCAGATGGATCTTGACAGACTAGAACACTGGGCCATATCTAATAAAATGAAATTCAATATGGAGAAAAGTAAAGTCCTACACTTAGGCAAAAAAAATCAAAAGTACACATATAGACTGGGTGAAACCAGTCTCAATAGCAGTAACTGTGAGAGGGATCTTGGAGTCTTAGTGGACAACCGGCTAAATATGAGCCAGCAGTGTGCAGCCGCCGCCAAAAAAGCTAATGCAATCCTAAGTTGTATTAACAGAGGGATACAATCAAGATCAAGGGAAGTACTAATACCACTCTATAAAGCCTTAGTAAGACCACACCTAGAGAACTGCATCCAGTTTTGGTCACCACATTATAAAAAAGATGTTGAGGCTTTAGAAAATACAGAGAAGAGCAATCAGGATGATTGGGGACTGGAGGCTAAAACATATAATGAACGGTTGCAGGAACTGGGCTTGGCTAGTCTAGTAAAGAGAAGGACCAGAGGAGACATGATAGCGGTCTTCCAATATTTGAGGGGATGCCACAGGGAGGAAGGGGTCAAACTATTTTCTAAAGCTCCTGTAGGCCAGACAAGGAACAATGGATGGAAACTGAACAAGGAGAGATTTAACCTGGAAATGAGAAACTTTCTGACAGTGAGAAAAATCAACCAATGGAACAGCTTGCCCTCGGAAGTTGTGGGAGCGCCATCAGTTGACACTTTCAAGAAGAGATTGGACTGCCATTTGTCAGAAATGGTGTAGGGTCTCCCGCTTGGGCGGTGGGTTGGACTAGATGACCTACAAGGTCCCTTCCAACTCATTATCTGTATCTGTATCAGTTCAAGTGGCAGGGCAGAATAGAATGGAATAATTTGTATGAATGACAGTGAAATATTCTTCATTTTGATTTGTTAGTACACACCTGGGGGTGCTCCGTCAGGAGGACTCTGGTACAATTGAAGCATAACACTATGATTATTGCCCTCAAAATCGATGCTGCCAGTTTCCAAGCTTAGAGTTAATCCTGTTAAGAGTTAGTGGATCCTTAGGCATGCATTAAAAAAAGGAATGCTACAAACAGCTGACCCTGCCTTGTAGTTGTAACTAAATATTTTGTCTACTTTAACCTCAATTATGGTAGCTTCAATTCTGCTTTGTTTTATCCTGCTGAAACTTCAGTGTATTGTGTAGGCTTACTAATGCATATCACGTGTGAGGCAATGATACATGCACACTGAACGGTTTGTACAGCTAAACGCAAAACTAGTTTGTCTTTTTTACATTCAAGTAATTATGCAGCAAAAAGAATTGTACTGTATTGTTTATGACTACCAGTAGTGTTTAAAAGCTACTCAAAATACAGACCAAACACTACCACTGAAAAGCAACAGAAATTCAGCTCTGGGGTTGTTAAGGGATGCCCATGTGCTTGCTGGACCAGTTTGTTCCCTTGAGATCAAGACAGCAGACCTGAGGCAGAGATTTTCTGAAGGCAGAGTTTCCAAGAAATAATTCTGGTATTCAGTGGTAATGGGAGTTGTGAAATAAACTCACAGCTATCTTGACTAAGAAAGGGAAAACTTGGCGTCAACCTCAATGCCAAGTGACATCATGGGCATATCTATGCAGGTTTTTTTTTGGTAACTATGGAAGAGGATTATATTGTCTTCTACCTTTTTTCCCCATTTTCCACCCTATTTTGTCTGCCCCAGTATTTCCTGGTGGTTTCTAATCCAAGTACTGATCAGTTCTAATTCAGCTTGTTTTTCAAGATCACAGAATGAAAGCTAAGTGCTGCCCCTTAACAGGGTATTATTTTAAGTGGGTGTGCACACAGGTGTGCACCTGTGTACTCTCAAGTCAAAGTTGATTCCTGGCAACTGCTTGAACTTGTCCCAGCAGTTTTCTTGGCAAGGGTTTTCAGAAGTAGTTTGCCCTTGTCCTAAGGCTGGAGAGAGAGAAAGAGTGACTTGTCCAAGGTCTCCCAGTTGGCTTTGTGCCTAGAACTCACATCTTCTGACTTCTAGCCTGGTGTCTTAACCTGTCTCCAAATTTAAATGATCAACTTCTTTATTTCCTCCTTCCATTCTCTTTCCACAGAACTCTTTGATCTCTACTTTATTTCCTCAATTAAAACACCCACTAAGGAATACAAATCTCAATATTATTCCTCACCTAAGTAACATCAACCAATCAATTTCAACCATTAGGACCCAACCAGACTGTCATCCAACAACTGCAAAAGCATGGTGTGAAATGACCTTAACTGAAGGCATTTTTTATCCTACATCAGAGGTAACGTTAGCTTGTGCACTTTGCTGTATCCCTACGATAAGATGCAAACGTCAAAACTGCAAAAAACCAAAAATCCAATTTGATTGTAAATTTGAACACTACACCCAATGATTTGGAAATGTCTCCTTCATGCACAAGTGTGCACGGAGAAGCATCCTCCTTTCTAATAATGTGTAGTTATTTCTAATAACTAATTATTATCCTTTCTAATAACTATTCCAAACGGACTTTTTGCACCTAGTGGTAAAACAAAATTATTCCTCCTGTTCAATCTTGTTAACATTTGAAACATGCCACGTGTTTCCGGGGAAAGGCTGCAATTTCTGTGCAGCCTTTTCTCATCCTACTCTACAATCTTTCTAGTCGACACCACAGAAGTAACTTTTCCACCAGCATCACCAACATATAAAACAGCCATTACCCCAGCCTAAATCCAACAATTACTTGCAAAAAAGGCTTTTGGAAACGCCGCAAGGGGAAAAAAAAAAAGTAAACATTCCGGCTAAGGCCAATCCCAGCTGCTGCCTCCCTTCTTTTCTTCCTTTTCCCCACAAAGGCCGGCCTTTCTGCCTCGAGTGTCCCACGAGAAGCACTGCCCTCCCCCCTTTCCTTGGGGGTGGGGACGGGCAGCTTAACCTCACCGCCCTCTGAGGGAGGGCGCTCACCTGTCCCCCGAGGAGGCGAAAAGAGGCGGTGACCACATCTCGAAGTCTTCCAGAAAGTTTCTACCGTAACGGGGGGGAGGAGGGGGGGAGGGAAAAGCAAACCCAGGTCCCCGCCCTGGCCAGTCGCGGCAGAGAGCGAGCAGTTTTCCTACAAGGAACCAGAAAGTCCGGAAATTGTGCAAGAACTTGCGGGAAAGGGGGGAGTCTTTCCAAGCCCCCTCCCGCCGGAGGAACCTCCATTCCTTTCCTTCTCCGGCCCTCCCCGGCCGAAGAGAGACAGACAGGCGTCTGCGAAGGGAGCGATCAGCTGGAATCTGGCCTCGCAAAAGGCGACGGTGTGGCCACGAAGGGCTCTCGCCAGCCCCCACGAAAAGCGGAGCAGAAGAGGAGACCGTCGGCGAGCCTTCCTTTTGTTCGGGGTTGTTCCCCGTCTCTTCTCCTTCCTAACTTTTGTTTTTGGATCAAGTTGAAAAGCGTCCGGCCCTTCCCTCCCCCCACTCCCTTCGCAACCCACTTCTAGCAGCTGAGGCGGCGGTGGGGAGGTCGCGCAGTGCGTCCCTGGAACCGGCTCTTTGAGGAAACTTTATTTTTTTTTTGTCAGGGGTGCGTGTTTGTTTGGGTTTTTTTTTTGTTTTTTTTTTGGAGCGGGAGAGAAAACCTCGAAGCGGGGGCAGCTGCTCCGGAGCAATTTGCAACCCGGCTGCTTTGGTTTCCCCGCTTCCACCTGATGGGCAAACGCCTCCATGGCTTTGAGCAAAGGGTTGAGGCTGCTGTGGAAGCAGGAGCCCACTCCCAGCACCCTACTGGAGGCGCGCGGCCGCCAGGCCTGCCTGCTGCTGGAAGCCGGCACGACAGCAACCCTCAGTAAGTGTTTCGTACCAAGGGTGGGGGTGGGTGGATGGGTGGGTGTGCCCGCGTGAAATTCTGGACGCAACCACCCTACAGTTGCTTTGCCTGGCAGGCCAACTTTGAAGGAAGGAGGCGAGGTCTTTCAGATCAATGGTCCACCCTGTCTGCCTTCCGGTTGCCAAGACAGCCAACCGTGACAGGAGGATTTGGTTGATTGATCAGCGTCTGCTCTTAGCGACCCAACTGGATAGGCTTCTTCCTGCTCTACTCAACCTGGCCTTTTCCATCTCTTGAGTGGCGCTTGCCTTGATGTTTCTTCTTCCTTCCATTGTCCCCAGCGTCATGGACTTCTCAAGGGAGCTTTGAGGCCTTTGCACACTTGTGTGCAAACATAAGTTTGAGCTTGGTCAGTTGTGTCTTGTGTGAGAAAGCTGGTTTGATTTATTCCGTGGTGGGTTCCCCCCCCCCCCACTTTCTTGGTTGTCCATGGTAGTCTACAAATCCTCTCCAAAACCAAGTTTCAAAACTTGTTTCAAAAGTAGCAGTAGTCTATCTTCTGTCCAGTTGCAGAAGTCCAATTTTCACATCCACCAACTGTTGCACTGCCTGCATGATCTAATGTAGGTATAGATGTGCATTGACTTATTTACGTAAAGCCTTTGTTTCTATGCAAGGCCTTTGTTTCTCTACCAATTGCTCATCTGTTGCAGATTTCTTTGTATAAACTGTGGCGTATTTCTTGGCTTCTGGTTCCTGAACTTTTAATAATCAATTCTAAAAGGCAAAATTTATTCACTCCGATCAGTGTCTTCACTGTTAATTTTCCTGTGTTCATTAGTTTGATCTTTGTATTTAATCATAGTCCCATTTTTTCATTGCTTTCATTACAGTAGGTTATGAAAGTATAATTTCCATTATCTATGCCAGTTTTCAGTCATCCAGGTCATAGTTGTTGTACCAAGGGTGCTTTTTTCAAGAGGCAACTAGACTTCCTTATTTTTCTTTGAAGTTGTTTTGCTTCTCATCCAAGAAGCTTCTTCAGTTCTGACTGGATGGCAGGGAATGGAAGGATTTCATGATACTCCATGTCTGCAAAGAGTATAAATCCTTCCATTTTCCACCATCCTTCTTGGATGAGAAGCAAAACGACTTCAAAGAAAAACAAGTCAAGTTGCCTCTTGAAAAAGCACCTTTGGGATATAATTTCCATTATTACCAAAATCTTAATTGATTCTTGATTCAGTTGTCACTGATTTGGGAGGTTCTGTCAGGTATATTTTTGGACAGTAGTTGGTGGCCAATAGTTGTGGCCATGTAAGCCATGAGTACAATCATATCTTATTACAGGGGGAAGGCTCAAGACCTTTCAAGAATGAACAGGAACATATTTCTTCTTCCAGTTTCAGTAATGGTACATAGATAAATTTGCACCAGTTCAGGAAATCTTACTTGTATTCTTTCATGGAATAAACAGTCAACATTAGAAAATTAACCAGTGCTTCAGGACAGTTTCAGTAGCTTGAGGCATCTACATTTCTTAATGAATAGCATGAGTACTTCCTTGCTGTCATACATTTTATTAATTGCAGACATTTTGCAATTGATAAAACAATAAGGTTAGATAGGTGTGAATTTAATATAACAAGTGGCAGCTTGTCTTCAGAAATTCATTTGCATTATCCTCCCTACAACCAACATGAGAGATTCCGTAGATGCTTTTGCTCAATACCTTATTGTCACTTCTTCATGCTTTCTCTTTGATTCAACTGGTTGTTGAAAATGAGGTCAATAAAACAAGCAATTAAAACTCCAAGAGGTCAACTTGCAGCCAGATGCTTGATAATTCTCTCCTCACTCACTCTACAGCTTTGGCCTATATAGGCCAAAACAGAAAGTTATGCTACAATGCAAAGCAACACCTCCAGATTTTCATATATGTTGCCTTTCACGTGTAAGAATGTTTACATTTAAATGTAAATGAACTATGGGATCTTACACAATACACAAATTACAAAAATTGCTGTAATCAAAATGTCATATAAGGATCTTGGCATGCATAACTTTTACTCTGATAATGCATAAATAAGACATTGATTATTTTATCAACAAAGCATATATTATTTATATTTTAAAAACTGATAAGAGATTGAGAACATAAGAAAAGCCGTGTTAGATTGAAAGCCTATTTATTCCACTCCAGCATTCACAATAACCATCTGCCTAGATGCCCCTTACTGAATGCTTTAGTATCTCTTGCATGTGTTCTCCAGCAAACTGGGACTCAAGATACCTCTTAAAATACTTTTTTTTCTTTGTCCTTCTCTTTCCTTTCTTGAATCCATCCTGCTTCACTCTGGAGTCCCTGAAGAATTACACTACCATCTTGATTTGCAGCATCATGGGGTGTGAGTTTTTGTGTGTGTGTGGTGTGTGGTGTGTGTGTGTGTATAAGAAGGGGTGCTTATCAAAAAAGTAATGATGGCAGCAAGTTTAAAACCTCACTCCCTTTGTACACACAAAGGGGTAGGGCAGGCACCACTCCCTGATATGGTGAGGTAGACTTTCATCTTGTTGCTATGACCACTATTTTGACTCTATCCCACATTCTGTGGACACCATTGATTTGCTTCATTATTATTGCCTTCCTGATCTACTGGAGTTTATTTAGAAACATTAAATCTTAAAAAGCATCTCTCAATATTTAGACACTCATGCAGTTTGCTACATCTTGGAAATTTTAAAATGATTTAAACTTCAATCGTATAGTAGTTCTATGCATATCTATTCAGAAATGAGCCAATGCAGAGAGTTGAATTCTAATTTATCCTAGCCTTCCTTTACCAACATGAAGTAACTTTACAATTACAGTCCTGTATCGTACCCCTGTAACTTGTGGTGTAATTTGTCATCAGTAACCAACAGTCAGAGAAGGAAATTCCAACTCTCCTTGGGCAGGACTTTTAACTATAGCATGTGTTATCCTAACATATTAAGAAAACAAAAACTATGGGAAAGGATTATTATAGAATTAACTTAGAGCACAAAAATATTTTTTGACTGACTAGATAAACAGGAACTTCCACCTTGAATGGTGCTTTGCTCCAAGGTATGAAGAAATTAAGACAAATACATACTTTTTAAAAAACCTTATGCTGTCTCTTATCTCTACTTGTTATTTATTTCCTAATGTGAACTGATGCCTGAAGCCAAGGTCCATCATTTCCATAAAATGTGTATGGGGGGGGGGGGGGGGATAAATTGCAACATTTTTTCCAGAGATTCAGGCTCGATTAGATCCAATACTTAGCTGATTGCTTCTCTCTTCTCTTGGATAATTAATTGACGTTTAGAAAAGATTAAAAATTGTTTCACCTTGTGCAAGATCTGCCTTTAAGCCACATGCAAAAGGAAACATGCAAAAGAGAGATGTTTCCTCTCTTCAGGGAAGCCGGGTTCAGACCTAGAGTTGTGCATTCCTTGCCAGGGAAGCAGACGTTCTTGAGATTGCCAGGTAGCCGTATGTAAGAAATTTCTTCCGAACCCTAACCCTTTTCCCTTACTACTGATAGTAATTTATCACCTCTGAAACTGTTATTATAACCAGTCAGTGCATTCATGAGCAAGCTTTTTGTTCATTAACTATAATCATATGAATTTTGCTTTGTTCCATTATTTAAATCTTGGTGGTTTGTCTTGTTGTAGCATTTACTTTTCTTTCTGCAACCAGTGTCACGTTGTTTTAAATATATTTTTGTTTGCTGATGCAGATTAGGAGAATGAACTTTGACTCTCAATCTCTTTTCTTCATGAATGATGAAATGGCAAAGTTAGAAAATTACTTACATTCTTAAACTTTGTTTATATTTCTGAATGTCACATTATTCACTTTATTTGTATAGTTCTACTGTGGCCTGTGGCTACAGTAATTCTTTTGTCTAGTGTAAAGAACTGAATATCTTGATTGTGTGATATCCTGTCTGTTGAGTGCACTTTGACAAATATGAAACCTTACACAGAATTAAACAATTTATTCTTAATTAGCTGCATATTATCTAGAAAATCCTAGTTTACAGAAAATTCTCTGCTTCTCAATATGTTTTGAAGAATTTTTAAAAACTAGGGTAAATTCATTACAGTGAAGGTTCAATTTACTGGACCATGGTACAATGAACTTTGGATGCAATAGAACAAATTTCCACCACAATTTATATCATTTATGTAAAAATGTAATTAAGAAACTGTGTGATGTTATCTACATTATGCTACATCATGCTAATGATATCATTTGTGTCATTCCAAAAATGACTTTAAGTCACAATATTCTACTTTTATATATAGTGGACTTTTGTGAATAACACTCTCTTTCTCCCCTCACTTCCAAATAGGGGTTCACTAGCACTAAATTTTTTTTAAGTCTGTAGTTAATATATCTTCCCAGTGACCCTGGTTAACACTTAAAATAACTAAGCAATTGGCAGAAATTAACAAAATAACTGAATATCAGAGTTGAAAGGGACCTTGGAGGTCTTCCAGTCGAACCTCTTGCTCAAGCAGGAGACCCTATACCCGTGATGGCGAACCTATGGCATGCAGAGCCATTTGTGCCGGCACACAAGCTGCAGGCAAACTTACCTCACTGGGCATGCGTGCGCCTCACAGCTGATTTTCGGCCTCTCAAAGGCTTGAGGAAGGCTTCTGCAGGCTTTGCAGGCCGAAAACTAGCCCCATTTCATCACTTCCTGTTTTTCTGAAAATACTGGAAGTGACAAAACGGGGCTAGTTTTCGGCCTGCAAAGCTTGCAGAAGCCTTCCTCAAGCCTTTAGGAAGCCAAAAAAGGCCTCAAGCCAGCCAAAAATCAGCTGTGAGGCGTAGTGCAGATAAGGGGTGGGTGGGTGGGGACTACGTGCGCATGCCTAGGGGGTGTGGGGGGGTGCACATTGCCTTCTGGGTGCTGGCACGCGAGTGCGAGCATGCAAGCACACACAATTTTTGGCACAGGAGCCCAAAAAGATTAGCCACCACTGCCCTATACCATTCCCCAAGTGACTGTCCACACTCTTCTTAAAGGCCTTCAATGATGGACCACTCACAACTTCTGAAGGCAAGCCGTTCCACTGGTTAATTGTTCTCACTGTAAGGAGAACAATAATCTTACTTGACCTCTTAAGAAATAAAAAGAGTTCATCTGCTTGGTACTTTGGGAGGCTCAGGAAATCCAACTGCCATAAAAATACTCTAGGACAGGGGTCTTCAAACTTGACAGCTTTAAGACTTGTGGACTTCAACTCTCAGAATTTCTCCTCCAGTCATGTTAGCTCAGGAATTCTGGGAGTTGAAGTCCACAAGCCTTAAACTTGCCAAGTTTGAAGACCCTTGCTCTAGGAAATTAGAAAAATATCCCCAAAAAAAACCTTTGACAAAACTAATCCATTTTATTGTCCACATCGTCTCCTGGAATTAAGTTTAAGTCAAGGAAGTTAATCTTTAAACATTTTATATCCTTTAATGCAATTATTGCCTCTCTAGCATGACTCCCTGATTTTATTATTTACCACTAACAGTCAGCAATTCAACCAGTGGAATTTCACACCTGGAAATGTTGATTAGTTAATGTTCAACAAAATTAATCATTCTAATTATGTCTCTGTTCTCTGTTAAGGTCACTTACGGTTCTCAATATTTCTGTACACTTTTCATTCTCCAACTAAATTTCATTCTCTCCACAATTACTCTGCGCTCTCTGAATTCCCAAATTTTAGCTATACTACAAAAATAACTTCATGTGGTGGCTACCTTAATACTGAATTTAGACATTGTACTAAGACTATGTGCTAATGGTATATTTGATGCAGCTTAGTCAGCAAATGGCCTAGTCACCAAGTTATGTTAATACATTTTGGCTGATATTACATATTAAGGAAAGTTAATTGCTGTGTGTTTTTCATCTTTTTCTTGTTCTTTTTATTTTATTTCTATATAATTTATAAGATGCTTAGAGCCTTTGGGGAATTGGGTGGCATATAAGTATCAGTAATAAATAAGAACCACTTTGATGAAAAAGTTAAAACAACCAGGCTAGAAATCAGGAAACTATGATTTTTCCTAGTCCATCTTTAAGGCCTGGAGCCAGTTGGATGAATTTGGGGCAGTCATTCTGTCTCAGTGTTAGGGAGAAAACAATGGCAAACCACTTCTGAAAACTTTGCCAAGAAAAATGCAGACAATTCCAAGGAGTCAAAATTGACTCACAGGTTCACAAGCAAGGCCAGCCAGCCAACAGATAAATAAATAACCAACCAACCAACCATAGGGTTCATTTGAAAGAGTTTTTGTTGTTTTAATATCACAAGCTATATGCCACTCCTTGAAGTGGTGAAAGCTGAGCATGACCAGTTTTTCCCCAGTCCTCTGAACTGGTATGTGCAAATCCAGAACCGTCAGCAAAGCAAAGAGCATTTCATTTAGCATTTCATTGACCCAATGTCACAGTCCAAGCATCCCTTCTATTGATTTGCAGAGCCCTAAGAAACACGTTGGTTTCAGTTGGTTTATTACATTGCCATAGAGTGGAGCAAGAATTGATGGCTTTTACTGTGTGATTTCCCCAGCATTTGAAGAAAAAGAAGAAATTAAAGGGCAATATGAGAAGCTAATGGATGCTTATGGATGCTTAGGCGAACTGCAGTTAAAATCTGGTATGTAATACTGTGCAATAATCAGATTAAAAAAGAAACTGTCAATACTGTCATTGATTCATTATTACTAATGAAAATGTCAATATTGTTCATTGTTAGGTTAAAGAGAAATGATTACAGGTAGTCCTCGACTTACAACCATTCATTTAGTGACCATTCACTTAGCAGTGAAAACAGTGACTTATGACTGTTTTTCACACTTACAATTGCAGCATCTCCATGATCACGTGATCTAAATTTGCACTTGGCAACAGGCATGTATTTAAGACAGTTGCACGGGGAACCCAAATTTTCTAAATGACCTCATGAATCCCTTAACAACTGCAGTGATTTGCTTAACAACTGTGGCAAAAATGGTCATAAAATGGGACAAATCTCACTTAACAACTGCCATGCTTAGCAATAGAAATTTGAGGCCTCAGTTGTGGTCATTAGTCTAGGTCTACCAGTACAGTATAGAATCATTATTTCAGTTTTTTAAACATTCATCTTACCATGTGTTGTAATATAAATTTGAAAATAAGATTTGTTTCACCAAAATTACTACAGCTTTTATTTTTGGAACCTACTGCTATAGTGGCAATAAAATGGGGGGAGATCACCACATTGATGGTCTCACTGCTGTAATATAGCTATTAGCTTCTAGACTTCTTCTCTTATACTTTGACAAACTCTCAAATGTGCATATTTTGTTTCTGTTAGTGAGATGACAGAAAATAAATGAAAACTTAGCAAGCAGTAAAGGAACACTCTTTGATCAGAAATTATGAAACACACAGCTTATATAGTCAGATGTTCCATGCCTTAAAAAAGGCAACCCTTTTTCTCAGCATTTTAATGCAATGTTGAAGAAATCTGTATTTTTTCCATGTTAGTTCACCATGTTTCTGTGAAAAGCATAGGACCTCTGCATATAAAATAATGCTCAAGAACCTCCCTTCTTTGCCAAGAGCCAGCTGCTAAGAAGCATTCTTTTTATGTGACAGGTTTTATTAATTATGGCTCATAGTTAATGAAGATTACAGCTCTCATTTCAGAATGTGCGGCAAAGAAGCCATTGGCAGCCTCAAGAATAATGATGTAACGTCTGCTTTATTTGCCACTGTTTTAAGCAATATAAGCATGTATCTGGCAACCCTGCGCTAGCACATTCTTTGTCCTGATTTTGTTCTCTTATAGGCTAACAGACATTTACTTAAGTACTGCAGCAAAAAAGATTGTAAAACTGGGTTCTATGATGACCCGATGAACAACTGGTACAAATTATGATTGTAATTCTGGCTTCAATTACTTTGATAATTTGAGGATTACCTATAAACCTTTATATAGGACAGCGTGTGAAAGCACCCTTCTAGCAAGTAGGGATCTCTGCAGGTTACCAGTTGGAAATCGTAATCATTTTGGGGGAAACCTTCCACCCCTTCCATTTGATAAAACATATTTCAAGTTGCATTTCAGACAAAGAGGAATGTTTACCTGATTATATCTTTTCATTTCCTTTTGTACTTTGATCTTTGCAGCCTATTTTAATTTGCTTTTAAATCCCAGAAGGAAGAATATGTGAAGGGAGGACTTGATTTATTTTCCACAATAGTATCCCTATCTTGGGGCTTCAGAATTATTCTCAGGGTATCAAATAAAATGAGAAATATGGCTATTAAACATTGACATTTTCAGTGAGAATTACTTGGTTGGAAAATAGTTCCATTAGAGAGACTTGCACAAAACTGTTTTCTCTAATAGATTTTTTAGTTCTCCAAAATTCTGGTTTTATTTTGGCTTCAATAGCTGTCTTGAAAAGATTTTTAAGTTACATTTTATTATGATACTATATCATGAAGATTCTGGTTCGGCTTTATTTTCAATCCTCCTAGAAATGTCCAGCTATTGGAATAGACAGAATCTACTGTGTCTATGCTTACAGATAAATGTCCTACTTACAAAGATTTATAAATTTAATTATGCTTGCATACCTGCAGAAACTTCCCGACAGATAAATATCTTACGTTTATCTTACTATCCTAACAAAGTCTCATTGTGTTCTTCTGATATAATAAAAGAATGCCTTTGTAGATAAAACCTAGAGCAGCAAAAGCAATAATATGCATATATAACCATATTATATATGTGATTTTGCAGGCAACTCCACTCTGCGTTTCCTGGTTCTTGTGACAGGCTGTACATCAGTGGGAAAAATCCTCGATACCGAAGTTTACAAGATCACAGCAACTGAATTTTGTGCTCTCCAAGAAGAAACTAAGGAAGAAGATCGTGTTTCTGCCTTGAAGAAACTTCTGAATTCTGGGGTCTTCTATTTTTCTTGGCCAAATTCAGGATCAAACTTTGATCTCACTATCCGAGCCCAGAAGAAAGATGATGATAGCTATCAAACTGGAAATTCATTTTTCTGGTTAGTACCAAACTTGGAAGTTTTGACCAAGCCTCGATTTAAGATGTTTGGATGGGTCTCTTTGAAATGGGTTGATGCAGCAGGACGTTATATTGTCCCTCAGATAATTGTTGTTTGTATATAATGTTCTTTTTAATAGAGAAGCTGCCCAGAGTTGCTAGGCAAGATGAATCTTTATTCTTATCCATGCAGGATCTTCTTAGATCCTTACAATTTCACATTATGAGTAGCAGGTTGAAATGTATTTCGAACATGCTTAATAAAGGCAATTTCCTTGACTTGGTTACCACAAGTATATTGCACCCCAAGCGGAGTCCCATTGATTTAAACCGAAGAGATTGAAATATGTGGTTATATTGTCTCTACAGCAGTGGTGGGATTCAAAATTTTTTACTATCGTTTCTGTGGACGTGGCTTGGTGGGTGTGGTGTGGCTTGGTGGGCGTGGCTTAGTGGGCATGGCAGGGGAAGGATACTGCAAATGCCCCATTCCCTCTCCACCCCACTAACCTGCTTTCCTGCTCCGTTCTCCTGTGTAGGGCAACAAAAGAAGACCCAGCCAATCGGCTGGGACTTGGGAGGCAAAGAATAGATGGGGGTGGGACCAGTCAGAGGTGGGATTTGCCGGTAGTCGAACTACTCAAAATTTCTGCTACCTGTTCTCCAGAACTGATCAGGACCTGAATGCCACCTCTGCTCTACAGACTGCATTAAGAGAAAACAATAGGACTCATTAGGACAGAGAAGGCGTCTTCAAACTTGACAGCTCTAAGACTTCTGGACTTCAACTCCCAGAATTCCTTCTCCAGTCATGTTAGCTCAGGAATTCTGGGAGTTGAAGTCCACAAGTCTTAAACTTGCCAAGTTTGAAGACCCTTTTGACAGAGGTTGGGGGAATCTCCTTTCTGAGAATGCTGTGCCCTTCTTCCTATATAAAACTAATGAATAAATTAATTCCGCTGAATGATCAATAGTTTTCAATAAAACATATAAATATATATTCATACAGAAGCAATATACAGGCTTAAACATATATGCATGACTGTTAAAGCCATTACATTATTTCACCATACTTTTTGCTTTAAATGGTGATGTGAACAGTTGTAGAATAAATACATTAATTATGGCAAACTGAATACATACCAGCAGTTAACTATTGATCAGAAGCACCCAAATATACTTGTGTTAGGTTTCCTACTGTTTGTGATGCAGGAACACTAAGTAGGTCCTAAATTCAGCTTTATGGGTAATGTTACACAGATTTACTGCACAGTAGTTTTTGTTGCATTCATGAGATAATACGATGTACCGTGTTTCTCATATAATAAGACCGGGTCTTATTTTTTTTTGAGCCCCGAAAAAAATGGCTAGGCCGTCTTTTCAGGGGGTGACTTAATTTCCCCCCCCCCTTGCATCTTCGGGCGGGCGGGCGGCGATGGCTTGAATGTTGACCTCGGTGTTGGTGGGGCACTTCGTATCGGGGTCAACGCAGGCAGCACCATATCCGGGTGTGCAACAAAAGTACTTCCTAACGGCAAGCCCCCCCCCATTCCCCCCCATTTCGCATGTTTTAATATAGGCCTTAATTTGGGGGGGGGGCTTAATTTCATTTCATGCCTATAAAACATGCTGGGACTTCCTATTGGGGGAGGCCGTATTGTTGGAGAAACAGGGTAGTTTAATGGTTCTAGCTTAACAGTGGTGAGAATCACCTTCCAGTTTCCTCTCAGCCTTGCAAAAATTCTCTCTTTTATAGCTCAGCTTATCTGAAAGAGTTATTGTGGGGAAGATTTTAAAGAGAATAACTATAGCTCCTGGGGTGGAGTGGGGAGAGGTAAACCATAACTAATAAGTAAATAAAATATTTTATTCTTAGTTTTTATTACAGAAAAACAGTGAACAACAAACACTTGTAAAAGTTCAGGTCATAACCAAAACTTTAAAATCATGCGGTTAAACTTATTTCCTTTTGTGACTAGAACAGAAGAATTCTATTCTATTTCTAGCTATCTCTGTTTACCTGCCGTGTTGGGTTTTTGTTTTTTTTGCCTGGTTAGGAAATAATTTCTTACCTTATGTAATTACCTTATGTAAATTTGTAAACTGCACAGGGAAAAACATACAAAAACTAAACTTTGCTAAAGCGATAGATCTAGATTTGAATATAGATAGTTATAAATATAAAATGTATACATATGTATGTCGTACATACATGATCTTTCTTTTTGTCCTGCTTACAGGAACCAGCTATTGCATGTCCCTTTTAAACACTATCAGGTGAACTGTTCAGACTGGCTGCTAAAAGTGATTTGTGGTGTGGTGGACATTCGCACTCTTTACGCCTCTCACAAGAAGGCAAAAGCCTGCCTCATCTCCCGGATTAGTTGTGAGCGAGCTGGTGCCCGGTTTCACATACGAGGAGTCAATGATGATGGTCATGTTTCTAACTTTGTTGAGACGGAGCAGGTAAGGGGCAGGAGAAGATCCATGTCACTAAATAATTAAGAAGAAGCGTTCAGGTGGACCAACGCCCCTTTTCTAAAGCAGCAAGAGACAGAAGGGAAGCTTGGGGTCTTCAGAATTTTTCTGACTTTTTGCTCCTTCTGATACATAGCACTAGCCAAAACTGTTGGTTTCCCTCCATCCTCTGAGAATCTCATTTGTAGGCCTTGGGTGCAACCTCTTCAATTATATTTTACTTGGTTGCCTAAGCAGTCACAGATGATAGGAATAGCTTAGACTTCCATAAAATATGTTGGGCATTAGACAAATGGTGCTTATGACTTATTCTAAAAGTTGGGACATATGTGGCGTCCCTATGGTCATATAATTACAAATTCCAATATCTCCTACCCAAGCAAAGTCAAAGGGGAAGCTGTCAGTAAGTCACAAGTCATGATCATGTGAGATCTTGACCTGGGTGGTCTTTGGATTATGACAGCAACCGAGAGTACCAGAACTGCTGTTGCTAAGTAATGCTGTCATGTGGCATTATATTTTACAACCACATTGCTTAGAAATTGCTTAGAAATGAAAATTCCATTCCCAATTGTTGTTGTAACTTGAGTATTTCCTGTATCCTTAATAACAGATTTGAAGTGATACAAAAGCCATGCTAAGCCGTACTTAACATTGGCGTCTCTCACTTCTTTATAATAATACATATACTGTATAAAAATGGGATAAAACTTAAGAATGGGCTGGACCCAGTTATGTTTGAAACATAAAATATTTGGGCTGGAGAGAAAATGATTTTACTTCGTTAGTTGACTAGTAGATAATTAGCAATGAAGCAATAACTGCACTGCTTCCAATACAGTGGAAAAAATACTTCAGCATGTCATATTGGCTCTGCTCATTCATAAATTAATTATACCCCAGGATTCTAGATATCCTGGCCCCTTTACACTGCATGGTTTCCTCTGGTTTAAAGAAGGGGATAAGCAATTAGCTTTATATCCTGGAAGCTCTTCTATGAATAAATGGTCTTCCTTTGTTTCCCACTGAGGTACTCTTCCTTCCCTCCCTCCCTCCCTCCTCTCTCTTCTGATGACTCACTGCATAAGCAAAGAAAAACAAAACAATTTGAAGTCCCTTGGCTTTCTAAACTGAAGTCAGCTGTTGATCTTTCAGCTCACTTGCTACAAAATCAGAATCCAAAGAAGTGCTGGTGCTGATACTTGAACAAAGCAGTGTATAGAGTGAAAAGTAGGGAGAAGGAATTTTGCAGCAGGAATTAAATTAAAAGTTGCATCCAACCCAGCTTAATTCCTCATTCAAAATGGCCTTTGATCCAGCTGTATTAGAACCAGCAGGAATAATCTGAGTTGTACAAAAATACCGGTAATCATTCTCTTCAAATCATTGTAGTTTGTTTGGCAATCATATGGAAATAACTTGATATTGCCTTCTTCTGGGACATATGCTTGACTTGTTTATCTAACCTACAGTCCTGAGATTCTTAATGGTTCCCATCCAGCTACTAACCATTTTTGAATTTAATATAGGCACTCTACTCTTACTGATGGTAATTAAAACCAGGAACTCCATCACTAAGTGATGCAGGCATGACAGCACATAACCACTCTGACTTAGGTCAGCAGTGTCAAGAGCTCCCAGTTGTAATTATTAGTCAAATCACACACAATTACTGTGTCCCACCATCATATGATCAACATATGCCACCTCCTTACAGTTTCTCCATTAACTTCATTGGAAGATAGTGGTGAAGGTTGAAAATAGAGGTCACGTTGTGGGGTACCGCAATGTTGTAATTGCAAGCCAGTCACCGAGCACCCAAATCACAATCACAAGATCATGGGCATGTGTAACAGCCACAACTACAAAAACCACTTGTAAATAATCTCATTCAGTGGAGACGTGTTCTAATTTCAAACGGTTGCTAAACCAGCAGATGTTAAATGAGCACTACTTGTAATTAATTGCATTAATCTAAATATATGCTACTTTTTAAAAATCTTTTCAGGCTATCTACTTGGACATGGATGTTTCTTCCTTTGTTCAGATCAGAGGGTCAGTTCCATTATTCTGGGAGCAACCTGGATTGCAGGTAATAAGCATAAACCATGAATGTCTAAAGTAATGTTTACTGTTAAACTGAACGTCTCCTTTACATTTGGCATGTCAACATTTCTGGCCTTAAACTTTAAATAGGGCAAGAGTTTCCATTCTTTTTGGAGGGACTGTAGTAGTGATGCAGTCTTTTACATGGAATGGATTTGTACATGTGCATATTTAAGTTTGGATTGATTCAGGAATACAGAAATGGGGAGGATGTTAGTTACCTTTATAAGTAGTTATGTTGTAAATGTGATCATAATCATATGTATTTATACTTTTGTTAATTAGTATACTAAAAATTTCAAAATGTATTAACGAGGCAAGCAATTTTAATCTTACAAGGAAATTGAAAAACAGAAGGAAGTTTTGGGGCAGATTAATTAATTGCGCATCATTATTTTTTGTCATCCCCATTTTTTAATAACATCTGCCTTCTATGTTCTGTGGCATCATTTGTGGATGCCAAGATGGTTGCTAGGCTATAATAAAGAAACACTTTTCTCTAAATGAAGAAGGGAGACATCTAGTGATTCATGTTGAAAGTATCACTTCCTATTATTATTATCTTCTTAGGTTGGTTCCCATCATTTGAAGATTACCAGAGGCCTGGAAGCAAATGCTCCTGCTTTTGATAAGTAGGTTTAATAATTGCAATATTGCTGATAACATGCAGGGTTAGAACTTGATATTATAGCTTTTACTGTAGGATGTTCCAGAATCTTTGCGTGCAACCATGTCTTCTGATTTTCAAATCCATTTCTCTCTTTTGCATGAATATTCCCATTTGTCATTTAGGACTGAATCTGAGAAGGAAGAAGTGTTGAAAGATAGGTGTATATTTTTGAACAAAGCTGTTAATGTTCTGAGTGCCTTCAGATGCCTGGGTATCTTTGGGCAGTTGATCTTTCTTAGCCAAATCTACCTCACTAAGTGATTATTGTGGGAGAAAATGGGAGGAAAGAGCATTATGCATGCTCCATTGAGCTCCTGAATGGCACGGGGGATTCAAAACAAATAAACAAAATACGATAAACATATGGTACTATTATTTTTTAAAAAACAATCTTTTTTCAATCATGTAGCACCAAACTAACAGGATGGCATTCTGTTACCCATAACAGATGGCAAGGAGTAACTTTTGTTTAGGAGAATGTCATGTTGTTGATACTATTTTTTAATTCACAAGAGAGATTGTAGGAGAGGAAAATTTAGCCAGACAGTACACAGTAGAACAGGGGTGTCAAACTCATGTCGTTATGTGACATTGTACAACTTTTTTCCCCTTTGCTAAACCGGGCATGGGCGTGGCCAACACGTGATGCATGTGGACCACGGGCCGCAATTTTGACACCCCTGCAGTAGAAATCTATAGGTTTTCCATCGGTTGGAGTATTTGAGTAGAGGTACCGAGTAAGGGATCCTGATAGACCCTAGAACTATAGTTTGATGAGACTTCGGTACTAATGCTGAGTTGTTTGGATATTGAACTACTCATGTACAACCAAGAACATTATATGATTGTTCTAACATGTGCAACCAAATCTTAGGACAGGACATAATCTGGATGGGTTTATTTTATCTAGATGGAGGGTAATCTGAAATGGGAGTTTACATCTCATTGATCTTGTCAAATGTTCTTGTCTTTTGAAGTTTAGGGGTAGCAGTAGCTTTTTTACCTTGCAAGTGCGGTGATGGGGAATTTTTGAAAACAGTCCATCCTATTCTGATGACTAATGAAGAGTTGTGTGATTTTCCAGGACTCACACTCCTATGGTGCTCCTATGGAAACTCTGACAAAATCATTATTTGGTTTTGTATGATTAAATGCCTTCACCTTTTTAGTAGTCCTTAATTGCTTGAGGAGAAAGCAATTAAAAAAATGAGATGACAGCTGCAAAGCTTACAGGAGGAAGACTCCTGCTGACTCTGATGGAACACAGGTTGATCCTAGTCTCTGGGGTGTTAACAGTGGCAAACAAAATTGTTTTCTAAAATCATTGAATCAGGTTAATTTCATGCAGCATCACTACTGTACTGATTCTTACTGTATTGAGCAATTTGCACTGTTAGATGCCTTAACATTTCATGCAATATTTGAAATAGTCTTGAATACCCAAGTCAAGGAAAGGATCCATTTTCTAGTAAAACTGGAAAACTAGAATAAAATTGTAATGTTATGCCCGAGAGAAGCATTTTTATACTCAAGATGCTCTTAAGATACCTTGATTTTCCCCCTGAAACAATGCGCTTAATCTATTATAATGAACCAGGTGTCCTGATAAACTAATCACAATTCGTTTAGTTATAAACAAATTTAGTTATCTCAATTATTTAAACTCCCAACAAGTAACCAATCCAGGTAAATTATTAAAATGGTTGTGTGTACGTAGTAGTGGTTGATTATTAAAATATAGAACATTTATTCATTTGAAGTAAAATATAAACTGTAGAAAGGAATCAAGTTCTTCAGTCGCTATTCTGAAAAAAACCTTGTGTGGTTAGAAGCCATAATTGACTTTGGTCACTTGTATTTTAAGAAGAATTCTAGGTAGCTTCTATTTATGAAATCAAAGCAACCTATTCCTGCTTTTATAGGCATATGATGCTTCTGAAGGAACAATACGGCAAACAAGTGATCGTTAATTTGCTGAGAAGCAAAGGGGGAGAAGGAGTTCTGAGTAGAGCTTTCAAGGTAAAAACAAAGATCAAAGCCCTTTTGCTAATTTTGTCTTGGTTTAGAGGTTTCTTTCTTATGAAAGTAAGACATATCTTCATATTAGATAGCCAGCACTCAGCCTGGAAAAATCAGAGATAATATTTTTCCTTTTACAAATATGTTTGAGTATTCCCAAATTGATAAAATGTATATAAATGCTTTTTTGACAGCCTACTGAAAGCAATTGTGTGATAAGTAATTGTGAGTATGACTGAATCGTTTATCTGAAGTTGATCCCTGTTTCTCAGAAAAATAAACCCACTGAAAGCAGAGGATGACAGGTTGTATCCGTGGATTTTCTTTCCTTAGGAAAAAAATAAACCCAGCAATATGCTGTTGCTTTTCCAATAATGCTTATCAGAGAAAAAAGAAATGTAAGATGTACGAATGTACTGGAGTTAAGCTCTGTAAAGGAATTTGTACAAATTCCTATATGTTGAGACAAGGAACATAATGGGCTGTGAGGAATGGCATGTTGATAAATGTTTAGCAACCGTCTCTGCCACTTCCCCTGCACCGTGCATTAAGTCTTATGTCTCAATTCTATTTTCTCAAGCTGGCTCTGGCATACCACTGGTTGTAAGTGACTCCTTCATTTACTGTTCACTTCAATTCTGTGTACTACAGAGGGGTGGGATTGCTCCACGGTGCACGGAAACATTTGAAGATGAGGCAAAAAGAGGAAGGAACAGTGAATTCTGCTGTGATGGTAATGTCAGGCGCAGGTAACCAGGAACTGGAGCTGAGTTCACAAAGTACTAGAAGTTTATTATATTCTACCTATACACAAGAATCTGATCTACTAACGGTCAAGGCAAATTGGTGCTAGATAAGAGTCAACAGAATTCATGGGAATGGGGCACTGATTACGTTGTCCCTCGTCATCTCCTACAAATATCCAGCGCGATCAACTAATCAGGCAGTTTGGGGAAGGGGGTTGTTCCATGCAGCCCTGTTTTCAGCTAAGGTGGGCTCTCTTGGTGGTTACTTGGATTAAAAATAGGATCCTGCAGCATGTGAAATAGATCCTCTTTCACCCAGCTAAGCTTCTGCTGCTGTGTCTTTTTCAGACATGAGACCTGAAATAGAGGGTGGAATGGAGTGGGATAGGGGGAGATAAATGCTTACGAGATGGGGAGGAGTACGGTGCCTTGTGTGGTTAAGATGTTGGGTTGGAGATTAGCAAGCACATGTTCGAGACTGAGCGCTGCCATGGAGCGGGTTGAGTTCTCATCCTTCACTCCAGCTCCTACTGGGGAAACTGGGCAATGGAGATGTCGCTGGTTAATTGTTTCAACCCAGAAGCCCCTCTGTTCTTCTGACATGAGTGTGATGCAGATGAGATGGGGAATTGATATCATGTATTACCATTCCTCCTAGCCCACAAGAGGATTTTCTGTCACTCCAGATTAAATTTGTCGTTTTACTGGGCAGGAAACTGCAAAGCATTTGGCTACATCCACATTCTTCCTTTCTTAAACCCCTTTTTATTTATAGAACCTAGAGGCCTTTTAGGAAATTTCAGCAGTGTAAGCAGCATGCTGTTTTCCCATTTTTAACATTTTAAATGGTCTTTTAAAAAACAAAGCTGGGGAGAACAGAAGATCTGGGCAGTACCAAGGCAAGTATCTTTCTCCCCACTGCTTTTCTCACTTGCATCGTTTAGAGGCAATCATTGTGATTCCTCTGTGAAGTTAACAGTTATTACAACTGCAGAAGTGGATAGCATGCTTGGAACAATGACTCATGCTGGGCTGGTAGTGCTGCAATTGTTCCCAAGTAAACTACGAAGAACTGAGGCCTGTAAATAGTCAAAGATATGTAGGCAGTTAGCAAAGGAACAAATCCAGTGGCAAACATAAGCTGCTACTGCTGCTGCTCGCCTCTTCATCTTTTAGAAGCAGCCTTTATGTACACAGTGATTTTCTCTTGAACTTATTTTGGATCTTAGCCATTGGAAGTTTGCAGTGAGTTGGATCATATTGCTAGTGAGAGGAAATTCCATAGCAATTTAACATTAGCACCCCTGCTGTAAGGGGTAAGCTTAAAGGGCAGGGTAGGAATCTTTGAAATAACAGCCCTAAACAAACCAGCATACGGCTTTGTGAATGGGTGGAGAAATTTCCTACTTATGTCACACCTGTTAGTCATAGCCCTATTATGCACTATGGTCCAGCCAAAGCCAAATAAAGGAAACAAGGAGGGAACATATAAAATGGCCTTTTGCGGGAGGGGATAGTTTTCAAACACCATTTTCCCATATGTGAGCACATATGAAGCCAGAGAGGCTACTTTAGTTATGTTCTACTTGTACTTGTGATCCATTTAATATACTTGTGGCAATACCGCATTGAGTTGTTCTAGTTACACATTCAGTTATGGAGACATAGAAAACAATATTTTTGATTCAGTCTTCCCATCAAAGTCATTTGGGAAGATGATCCTTTGCTCCTGGTCTGAGCTGTTGTAAGACAACATTGAAAAGCAGAGGGGACAGATGTAGGTTGAAGTGATTACTGATACATATTACAATATAAGACTATTATTTCTCTGCCTATTATCCTGTCCATAATATCTCCTTTTCACTGATTGGTTTTTGAATTAACTCTGCTGATAGAATATTCCATCAGTAATTTTTATGATAGGAGCATATTTTGTATTCTATTAGGATTTCTGCCAAATTCTGTGGTCTCTTGGCTGGTATTTTTTTCAAAGTAGGACTAGATGCCTCAAATATTCTACAATAATAATTTATTACATGAGAAATAGATTTTATTACTTACACTGTCTTAATGCTTCTGGGAACAAAATACAGTTTTATTTTAATTTATTTCTCTGCCTTCTAACCTGCAATGAAGGCGATAAATGTTCAGGCCATGAACAGAATAAACAGACTGCAATGCAGCTGCATCATAAGTATTAACTAGGCTTTCTCAACCTGCCCTTTCCAAAATACTGGGTTATCACCCCCTACAATTATGATTGTTGGACTAATTCATGTGGAGAATGTTAAAGGATAGCTAACTAAATCCCAATGAGATCAGAATATGGTGAATCCAATTTTTTTTTATGATGCCATGTTACAGAAACTTAAGTAGAGGCAGTCCCTGACTTACAACCACAATTGAGACCCAAATTTGTTGCTAAGTGAGACATTTGTTAAGTGAGTTTTGCCCCATTTTATGACCTTTCTTGTCACAGTTATAAGTGAATCACTTCAAGTGTTAAGTTAGTAACACAGTTGTTAAGTGAACCTGGCTTCTTCCTGGACTTTGCTTGTCTGAAGGTCGCAAAAGGGGATCACATGACCCCAAGCCTTTGCAACTATCATAAGTATGAAATCAGTTGCCAAGCTGAATTTTGATCACATGACCATAGGGCTGCTGCAACAGTCATAAGTGTGAGAAACAGTGAGAGGTAAGTTACTTTTTTTCAGTGCCGTTGTAACGTTGAGTGGTTGTAAGTCAATGACTACCTGTATGTTCTTTTTTTTTTTTTTGAAAATTTTATTTGGGTTTTCACAAAAAAAAACATAATACAAGTAAAACATCTTTTTTTTTAAAAATAGCATGGTCCCGGGTTATCACTTCTTCATACAGACACAAATTCAATTTCATGCTCATTTTTGTGTTCTATTCCATATCTTATTACTGTTTTACATTTTCAACTTTATTTTGATTATCTCATCTCAATTCAAATCATTATATTTATACTTTTGTCTGTCCTGTTTCAATTTCATATTATCTTTTCTCATTAAACAAATTTTCCCCTGTAGTTACTAATTGGAGTATGACACCTTTATATCTTTTAATTTTATCCATTCAACTCTTATTTAAGCTTCAATGTATACCTTTAAGATTATAACATTCAATATAATACATAACTTCCAATCAAATTCTGCTTGGTACATTCTTAAAATACACACTATATTCTTAAAAAAAGATTATATATATGTATATGTATATGTATGTAAATAAAGCACTCATTCCATTCCAATTCAGTTTTATCATTAATATTCATAAATCTTTAACATTTCTTTTCAATTAAATATCATACTTCCTTGGGAACACTTATAAACTTTCCATAATTAATTCTTTTTCCCCCCATATTTCTCTTCACTTATATTTTATAAATCATTAATAATAATTAAAATGTGCCATCCTTTCCTAATTTAATTCTCTCATTCACTTTATTTTATTTATTTATTAACAAACATTCCACTAGATTACGATAAATATTTTATCTATCATTTTAATCATATTTTCTAAAATTATTTCTATTTGTAATATAACAATACTATCTTATGTACCTTTGCAGAATCCCTTTTACAATTAAGTTTTCATCCATTATCTCTAAACAGGCTTATACTTTCAATTCTTATACCTTTTCCCTGTTTCTCTATATCTTGTTTCTGTCCTTTATAACTTCTTTTCCTTTCCTTCTTCCCCCTCTTCTTTTCCCTCCCCTTTTTACCCCCTTGTCTCTCTAATTCTAATTCTCTCTTCTGTAATCTCCTCTTCTGTTGCTTTCTAATATTATACTTATTTTTCTACTATTCTTTTTTTGGTTGTTTTTTCAAATCTTAAACTCTTCATTCTCTTTCCCCCCTTTCTTTCCACCCCCCCACATAAAATTACTTGATCATTAAATATGGCTTCTTCTTTGTCCCAATCTTCTTGTTCTGCAAGTGTTTCTTGTTGTTTCTCATAGTTCCAGGTCTCCATTTCTAAGAATTGAAATACGAAGCCAAAAGAACCTCTCCCTTCTTGTGCATCTTCTTTGTACTTTTTAAGTTCCATTTTCAGTTCTTCTAAAAGTGGTGCCATTTTAAACACTTTTAAACAACCACCCGATTTACAATAACCAAAAATCCAAAGATCACCAAGTAATCCAAATAATCCAAAGCTGTTTCTTCTTGCTTCTTTTTTCCACTTTCTCTTCCTGGGGTTCTATTATTTGGTTGCCAAGTTTCAGTTAAAATGTATCTTTTAGGAATCTTGTTGAGGTTTCACTGTGAATTCCTTTTAGTTCCAGGCAGTCTCCTCCATTTTTTCAGATCCTGTCCTTTTATTCTTTTTCTCTCCTTTCCTCTTTTAAAAGCTTTTAAGTATCCAGAAATCTTTATTATCCTGTTGACATTTTATTATCAGCTTAAATGCCTATTGATGTCAAAGTGGATTTTTTTTTCAATTTCTTGCTTAAGTCTCTTAGCTGTCAGTATAGGGAAGGGAAGAAAAAAAAACCAAATTGTTTCCCTTCCCTCTCTCCTTCGCTGCTTCAAAATCTTCTTTGGGAACAATGTTATTTTTTTTTATAGTTTAAATTCCAGCGTACCTTACATTGTTGCTTTTGCAGTTTAACCCGGTCAACCAAAACTTTCTCTTCTTATCTTCCTCCTGCACATTCTTTTCTGGTTGAGTTCTTCTTTGAGGTGGCCATTTCTGACCACCGCTGCAACCGCCTTCGGGAAAGGGAGTAATGACCAGCTGAGGAGGAGAGATGCGGCTCTCCTCAACCCTGCTGGCAGTCTCCCCCCTCTTCACCACCTCTATGGGGTGGCTTAGCCCCGAAACCAGCCGGCTCGGGGCGCTCTGGCGGTGAGCATGGATCGAAACCGTGCACGATCGTGGTTTCGGTCTGTTGGCGAAGGAACTCAAACCGGAAGTCCTACCTGTATGTTCTTGAAATTGATAAGACATGGAAAGTAAATATTTAGTTGTTTTACTTCTGATTAACTCTACACAACTGACTGCATTGTTAGATATGCTGTATATAAGCATTCACCAGCCATTCAATACATGTTATCAGACTCTTAATGAAGTAACAAAAAAGATTATTTTCTGCTCTTTTCTTTTATAAGAAATTACTTTGGGCATCATCCCATGCAGTAGACACTCCAATGATTAATTTTGATTACCATCATTTTGCAAAAGATGGGAAACTGGAGAACTTGCTGGGGCCTCAGCTAAAGCTACACTGGGAAGAATTGGGCATCTTTACAAAGGGTGAAAATGCAACTTCCCGGTGAGTATTGCACTCCTTCATCTGCACTTGTTTTCCATGCTCCAACTTTACATTTGTGGTTATTTTATGCTATCTTGCTTATAGACTATTTGATGTTTTTGTGCAAGTGGGATTGTTTAAATTACAACTGATCATTTTGACATATGGAACAGTCTGGAAAGTTGGTGGCTCAGACACTTTTGGACACCTCATATCTGTTGCTGATCTTTCAATCTTAGCCATTTGTAAAGCACATTAGTATGAAGCACAACTCCCTATAATAGTTACAATTAATTGTTCTTATGATGTTGTATTGGAATCAACATTTAAAATATGTAGACTTGCCTTTTCAGTTAGAGCTGGGTTACAGTTTTGAGAAGACCATTTTGGGTAAAATTGATCTAGCCAATTCCAGCAGTGCAGATGCACATCCTTGCTGAATTGTGGCAAAGGAGACTAGCAATGAATAAACTGAATTGTTATAATTTGTGCCTCTGCATTTTGTGCTATTGTCCATAGAGTCCTAAATTTTCACGCTAGACTTGCTCAGTAAAATACTCAACTTATAGGGGGAGATACAGTACTAATTCTTTTAGTTCTTTGACTTGTTTTTTGAAGTCAACAGATAGGTACCATTCGAATGAATTGCCTGGATTGTCTAAATCGAACTAATACCGTCCAAACCTTCATAGCACTTGAGGTGAGTGATAGAGCATTCAGTTTCTAAGAGTTTGAGCAAAACTCTTACAAGAGGAATTATCAAGCAAACATTGGATATTATGTGGGTGGGAAATTTGATTCTTGTCCTGTCTCGTTCTGCACTGTATTTTTCTTTCTTCAAATCAGATTCTCCAAAGTCAACTAGAAAGCCTGGGATTAAATTCCAAATCTATAGTTGAACGTTTTTTGGAGTCTTACAAAGCAATGTGGGCTTTCAATGGGCATAGTCTAAGCAAGATTTTTACAGGCAGCCGTGCTTTGGAAGGAAAAGCTAAGGTAAATGAAAAACTGAGCCTCAATAATTCTCTGACATTTCTGTAACTATGAAATTAAATTAAATGGTTGATCCTATTCTTATATAGGTTGGGAAATTCAAAGATGGTGCCCGGTCAGTGTCACTGACCATTCAGTCAAACTTTTTTGACAGCATGAAACAGGAAGCCATTGACTTATTTCTTATGGGTGATTTTTACAACGAAGAGTATGCTGATAAAGAGAGAATGCTGCTGGATCATACCGCATTATTGAGTAAGCAAGATCATTTTTATTTCAGTAACTTTTCAGTCTTACTTGCTCTTGTATATTTCTTGGGAGTAATCCATTTAAGTAAGCTTGCACAAGATTTCGTATTACAAAAAATGTCAGCATTATGTTTGGGACTTCCCAGTAGGATATTCAGCCACTCTCTTCATTGAATCCAAAATCAGTGTCTGACAGATGAAAGGTTCCATCCATTAGTGGGAGATTTTAATACAACAATAGAATCCTACTGATATAATAAAGGACCTGACGATCTCCACCATTTTTTCTTGAACCTCCAATCCACAGTGGCGCTTCAATATTCTCTAGAAAGCTGGGTGACCATTCAGAACACTGAAGGAGGGTGGAATCCGAAAATATCACGCCCGTTTTTTAAACTATGGACATATCATGCAAAAAATGCTTCTCTCTGTAGAAGAGAAAATTGATCTGTTCTCACACTATCCATGCGCCTATTTATGAACTCTCGCTAGTGAGAAACATTATCTATATAAAGGCTTCAATATAATTTAACATGCTTCTGCATTTAGAGAGTGCTTATAAAGGAAATACTTGGAAGCATGACAGCAAAATAATTATCAAGAGATAATTTGCAATCAGTGACATGGTTCATAGTTTAAGGGGGAAAATACCTTTCTTTCCTCTCTTTCTTCATCTCCATTAGTGACACCAAGCACTTTGAACATCATGTCAGAGCGTCAATTTGAATTCACGAACTTCAAGAGAATTCGTGTTGCCATGGGGACCTGGAATGTAAATGGAGGCAAGCAATTTAAGAGTAATATCCTTGGTACCAGCGAATTAACAGATTGGTTACTTGATTCCCCTAAGCTCTGTGGGGTTTCAGAGTTTCAAGGTAATAAAAAGTCCTACAGGTGATATGACAAAAATATGGTTACTGTATATGTATGTATTTGTATGTGTGTGTGAATATATGAGGATGTCACTTGGGACTGCCCAGTTCCATTGTAAGAGTAACAAAGTTTTTTAGATAGGATTAGAATTTTTTAGAATTAGTAGGAACTAATTATGTGCATTTGGGAAGGTAGGCTTAATTATTGTGTTTATCTCCTTTCCTGAAATGGAATGATTAGATTAAGTTCATATGTTTGGTTTTTCCCTCCCCATCACAACAGATGATCATTGTCCCGTTGACATATTTGCTGTAGGATTTGAAGAAATGGTAGAATTAAATGCTGGCAATATTGTGAATGCGAGGTAGGTTGAAATTGAATTTTTTGAACTGCTATGTCTCAAGTTCTGTGTGAGAGGCTCATTGAATTTCTTATTCGTGATAATTTCAGAGCTATCATACATTTTATTATTTTCAAAAGTATTCTTAATTTCCTGAAATGAATTTGTTCAGTATTTGTTAATTATCTTTCTTTATATAGATATTTTTATACCAGATATTTTTGTAATCCAAATAGTTACTTGATGCTCTGTCATTAAAATGTATTTTAACACTACATACTATAAACTAGCCAGGGTACAATACTCTTCAGTGGTTTTATATAACTATAATAAATAAAACTATTACAAACCGTGATGGCCCAGTGGTTAGAATTCAGTATTGCAGGCAAACTCTGCCCACTGCCAGGAGTTTGATCCTGACTGACTTAACCTTCCATCCTTCCAAGGTCAGTAAAATGAGGACCCAGATTGTTGGGGGCAATATGCTGACTCTGGAAACCACTATAAAACACCATGAAGTGGTATATAAGTCTAAGTACTATTGCTATTGCTAATAGTTGACTGTAGAATCAAATAATGACTTGTGTATCTGCAAGGACCTTCACAATAAACTTGTATCATCTGATACAAGTGCAATACATTTCAGTAGAAATAATTTACATGTTCAGCTGAAAGTAATCAGTTGATGTTTACTCATATATGAATGTTGATGTTTATTCATACATGTTTACAGTTGATGTTTACTCATATATGAACACATTAGAACTGACAATCTTGTGACCACAAAAGCACATCGATTGCTTGGTAATGAGCCAATGGCTAGGAGTGTGCTTGTATGCCAACACTCTGCATATCATGCTCGGGTACCCACATATCTCACTTGCAACATGTAGTTATAAAGAGCTTTCTTTCAGCTCATGGCCACAGAAAAAGCAATTGTGTTCAACAGGACTGCTGAGAAAGAAAGAGAAACAATCTTTAGTGGCTTTCGTCTATGGGAGAGGGAATTTAGGTTCAATATGAATTTAGCTTCATCATATAAATTCTAAAATGTGATATGTATATGTAATACACATAATTGAACAATGGCCTACTAATTTAGTCCATAGTTAGGACTAAAAAGCATTTTGCTCAAATCCATAGAACATTTCATGGAATTTTGTTAAATTCTTTGATGAAACAGTATGTTTAAAAACATACATCTATTATTTTTTTTAGCACAACCAATAGGAAGACATGGGGAGAACAGATACAGAAGGCTCTTTCAAGGACACATCGATATATTCTGTTGACCTCGGCACAGCTTGTGGGTGTTTGCCTCTTCATTTTTGTAAGACCTTTCCATGTTCCCTATATAAGGTAGTTCTTGCTTCTATTTTTACGTGACAACTTTGTGAAGAGATTGTAGATTTTCTTTTATGGAAATAATAAGGAACAACTGTGTTTATTTCTAATTCTGATTTATATGGCCTAGAGCAGGGGGCCTGTGTGGGGCCGTCCTGGAAATAGCAAAGGACTGGCTCAGGGTGCCTTGGCCAGCTTGACGTCACTTGTGCTAGCTCAGCGTCACTCACAGCCCTCCTGAATTCCATTTTTGGCTGCGACAGCCTCCTGCAGTGCTCTGCCAGCAAAAAAGGAGCTTGAGAGGGCCGTGTGCAGTTTTCCCGAGCTTCCGTTTCACTGGCAGAGCACTGCAGGAGACTGTTTCAACCAAAAATGGAGCCTGGGAGGGGTGCCCCCGACACAAGTGATGTCAAGTTGGCCACACCCACCCCAGCCACACCCACCCGGCCCTCCAGGTCAGACAGAACCTGGATGCGGCCCACAATGAAACCAAGTTGACACCCCTAGAGGAAAGTTGAAGTTATGTATTTGGTTTTGTTGGTTCTTCTCACCAGGGTGAATTGGGACAATTACTTTGATTTTCAAATTGAATGTTCTGTATTCCTGTATTTCTGAGATGAATTAGAGTTTGCCCCTCCCCCATTTCTTTATATAGTTAGCACTTCAAATATTAATTGTGTTTGGAAGACAGCCAAATGTTCAGAGTTGAAAACAAGTATTGGCTTTTGATTCTTTCCTACTCTTGCATCTGTTCCTGAGTATATATGTCTTGCTAGGAGACCAATGCACTGTTTCTCCATAAAAATTAGACCAAACTCATTTCCTATGATAATCGTGATTGTGTTCATGTCATGTGTAAACCACACTTAGGCACAGCACTTGCAGTATTCCTTATGCATTTTTCCTCTCATCCATCATTCATCAAAGACACAGCAAAACGCAGATGTCAGGTTGAATAGGAAAGAAGCACTCGTACATGCTTAATATTATCATTGCTGTTATCTGTTTGGTACTAGGTGATTTTTTTATTCAGAAAATTATTTTAGGATTCAAACAAGTTATTTCATAAAATATTTTTTAAATATTTTGGCTGTTTTATATTCTGCTGGTTGAATTACTTTCATTTTATTCTATGTTATTCAATTTTTAAAAAAACGTTTTTATCAGTTTAAGATACACACACACACGCACACACACTTTCTAAAATATACAGTTGCTGGGCAATAGAAAGCTACAATACATGTCAAAAAGAAGGAAGAACATGCATAGGAGCTGTGCTCAATAAATTGCTCTCTTTGAATTGCATTCTGCTAGAATAATTGACATAATAAATCAAGTGGGTTTTGAGATATTTATTGCAATGCACTGTGCCCTCCATTACCAAATTGTATTTCAAAGCAAGTGTAATGACATATTCCTTGAAAATAGCTGCCTGCATAGATTGATATCGTCAGACTAAAGAAAGGCATCCAGTTGTTTTTCTCAAGTTCTGGCTACATTTATAACCTTCAAAATATTGTTATGCCAAACCAGATGTGTATGATTTTTTTATCCAAAATAAGAAAAGCCCTTTAGATCTGCCATGAGCAGATTCTCCTTACCTGTTGGTAATTCTTAAAAGAAGTTTTGCCCAGGAAAATAAGGGTTTGAGTTAAGGAAGAAGTATCAGCAATTGACAATCACATGTGGCTTTTCATCATCTCCTTAACATACCCTTAAATGAGGCGTATATTTTCTTGGAGTCTCAAAACTACTGGATGAACTGAGGAACCACCATCAAAACAGAGTGAATGTTCCCTGGTCAGATCTGAAGCACCTTCCCACTTAAAATCTAAAGAGTGCATATCTCTGTTCAAAGCATAATCTAAGATGCTAAACAGAAAATTTTCATTAATTAGGGTCTGTGGCTAACATCTCATATCCACTTCCCTTGAGAAATCTCCACTAGTAAGAATTTTAGCCTTATTGCTAGATAATAAATGAATTACAGGATGTGCCAGCTTTAGTTTGAGGATTGAACTGATATATCAGCAGCCATATTCCAAAAAGTAGGCATGAACAGGAAAAGTGTGGCTTGTGTACTTTATTTATGAATTGTTTTCCCACTCTTCTATCAAGTTAATAATTGCTATTTGGTATTTGGGGGAGAATTTTTTCTGACCATATAACACCATTGTTTGCAGTTGGGATTTTGGCTCTACATATGTCCACATGAACTGAAACTCTCAAATGTAACAAGGAATGTCTGCTACAGATAACTGTCCTGTATATGTGAATGACCAGATGTTTGTTGACATCTCCAGTAGGGTTTTTTTGGGGGAGGAGGGAAGGGGAAGAGCAACTCCCTGGGGTATTTAATTGCACAAAGAACAACTGGAGTGATCTTTGATGTTTTCATGCACTCTAGTGATTGGCTTATCTCAGTGGGATATTGCTGATCTTTTCCTGGAAGGAGGAGATGGTGCTTCCAATATCTATATTATATTTATTTTTTTGTCAACAGCATTGCTATGCTGGGCACAATCAACCTTTGTGGTCCTTTTGGGGGCAATTAGAGAGCTTTAAAGGATGTGGTGCTTATTTTTACCCCTTAGTTTTGCAGAAAGACAGATCACATTGTTGAATATCAGCATTTTTTTGGTCGGGCTGCTGTAATCAGCGGATGAAGCCAGAGGCAAAGAATGGGTTCTGGGAGACAAAATGCAGCCTGCATCTTTGCATCAAAGAAAATTGGAAATAAGAAAAATTCCATTCTTTCTTCCATCAGGAATCTCCAGTGGATCCTCATTCCATCCATGAATGGGAAATGCTCTCTTTAGAAAGAACCAAGAACTAAAACAAATTTGTTCAGAATTTTCAAATTCTTCCTAAAGGTTTAATTTATTTATTTATTTATTTTGCTTTGGGTTTTATCACCTTCTGCCCAGGGACATAGCAATGGACACAGTGAAGACTGGGATGAGAGGAAAAGCTGGAAACAAAGGAGCAGTTGCTATCCGTTTCCAATTTCATAGCTCCAGCTTATGCTTTGTGTGTAGCCATTTGACAGCTGGCCAGTCTCAGATAAAAGAACGGAATGAAGACTATAAAGAGATCACTCAGAAACTGAGTTTCCCAATGGTAAGGCCTGGGGAAAGTTTCATTTGCAGCGGGTGCTGAATTGGCACATTTTTCAGGATAGAAATTCACATTGGGAAACACCTACATGCATGTGATTTTTATTTTTACCCAAATTTACCTTATTACACTTGGTGTGTTCATGTAATGTGTGTTCTCTGTTACCAATCACTTTTGCACCAGGTCATTTGTCCATCCATCCACTCCAGTTCTTTAAAAATTTAAGTCCTGAACGATTACATTTTAATAGATCAATTCTTTACCTACCAACCTGAAGCAAAAAACCAATAGAGGCAGTTGGAAAGATTAGGATTTGGGGAAGGGGGGAGAGAGAAAATGTTCTAGAGTGCAGCACTTTATGTATCTATTCTTGCCAGTATGGTTCCAGATGTAATTCAAGGTGCTTGCTATCCCCTTTAAAACTCTGAATAATATTTCTGAACCTTGATCACTTCCAAGATGTGTAGATTTCAATTCCCAGAATTCTCCAGCCAGCATGAGTTCTGGGAATTGTTCACACATCTCAAAGTTATCAAGGTTGAAAAACACTGGTCTAGACATTTGGGGAACTACTTTCTCCTTTCGTGCTTACCTGTAAAGATTAAAGATGGCTCAACCCAGGCCCCTTCCTCTTAGGGCAAGGGTGTCAAACTCATGTCGTCATGTGACATATTGCAACTTTTCCTCCTTCGTTAAACCGGGAGTGCGGGTGGCCAGCATATGACGCATCCGGCCCGTGGGCCACGAGTTTGATACCCTTGTCTTAGGGAATGTCACTACAGGGACTTTGAAACCTTTTCAGCTGCAGCCTTACTTTGCAGTAGCTTGCCTCCTGACATTAAAATGGCGCCTTCCCTCTTGGTTTTTAGAAGACCCATTAAAATGAGACTGTACCATTAAACCACCAGGATTGGAATTATGTTATTAGGAATGATATTTTAATTTTAATCCATTGATTATGGTATGTCTTTTTACCCATTATTTATTTTATTGCTCCTATTGACATTGCTATCTTTAAATTAATATATGTATTTGTGTATATTTAGATATTTTATATTAAGATTGGTGTTTTGCTGTTCTGTTGCATTGCTATGTACAATTTTTGCTACTATTTTGTGTCTTGCTATTGCTATTTTTATTATATTGTTACACTCAAATTTCATCTGAATTTATGAAGATTGGACTTTTGTACCATTCAGAATCAACTGGGAAAGCTTATAATACTTGCAAAATAAGAAATCAGTAATAAATCCCTGGAAGGGATTTATGCACTTGGGCCAAGGTTTATAAGGCAACTTCAGAATTTGTTCCATAGTATTGTAAATACATGCTGTGATATATAAAGAATATAGGCTTTGAAATACAGAGATAGTGATAGCAAAAGAAGTAAAAAACATGGCATTAATACAACAATATGTATTGTTTTGTATATGGTGGCCTTCATTAATATTTTATTACAAGCATCCTGCAGAAAATTAGTTCAGAATATTTGATCTTGCCCTTTGTTAGTTTGACCCCAGATCACTTGCTAAATGTTTGAGATACATTCTTGCTGATTATAACCCCAGTATTTAGAAGCTATCAAAACATCAAGAATTGTAGGTTTTGGAGGCATAGGGATTAACTAAAACTAAAGCTAAATTACCACACAGCAGTGGAAGCAGAAATCAGCACCTGATTTGTGACAAGGGATTGATCTTTTTTCAATAAGGCAGCAAAGAAGACTTTCAAACAATACAATAAAGATTTTAGTGCTGGTTTGGTAGAGAAGATAATTTTCCCGCTTCCTTAAAAATGTTATGTTTATCAATGTTAATAATTTAATCCTTTAGTGTAACATACCTTTTATTTGTTGATTAACATAAACAACATAAAACTAAAATAGAAGCTGAAATTCTAACCACACAAAGCAAATTGCAGAAAATCTTGGATTTCCCTACAAAATCTTGTTTCTTCTCCCCCCAAAAACATTTTGTAGCTTTCAGGAAGAGGCTTCTTAAGGTGATTGTGGCCAGCTGGGTCACAGAAGCAATTTGATAATGTCATTAAGTCAGGTGGTAATGAAAGAAGGAAGCGATGGCTTCAGGGTTACGAAAGGAAGTCTTGGGTTACTATTTTCCTTCTAATTAAGTATATTCACATGTTTCTGAAGTCCTTCACTTGTTTTACTGGTGGAAAGAGTGCACATTTTTTTAATAAATTACAAAGTACTGCCATTTCCGCTGAACATGCTTTCACCATGCATCCTTATTAATTTTCAGAACTTAGAGCAATGACAAAATCATGTTGTAATCCTTAGATCTTTAATGCAACTCTTTCTAAAATCTGACCGTTATCCTGTATGTGTTACTGGCAAAGAATAGATGGATTTGCTATAATGACAAGTGGGATACTTCATTAGATTTTCATATCTGCACTGTTTTTTTCTTCAAACATTCTTTAAAGATTAAAAGGTATTAGTAGTTATTTCTCTGTTTTCAGGATTGAGAGTATAACTCAGCCAATGATGTGCTAGAAGCTTTAATATCTTAAAAAGATGCTTTCAATTTTTGCAGAATAATTCTTATAAATGTCCATACGGATCATTGCCTAATTAAGCAGTTTACATTTGCAAAATACATTGGCAAATTCACCTTTATTATTATATAGCTTTATTAACAGCGCCCTCTAGTGATAATTTGATTCAGGACTCATTTGTTTTGTTTATGGTACTTTTCCAACAATATATGCAGTATCTTTTAGATTGTTTAGAACAGGGGCTCTCTATCTGAGATCCCCTGGGGGCCATAGATTGATGCTAAGAACCTATGAACTTGTTTTTTTTAAAAAAATAATTTTATTTCAGTTAACCCCTAACTTAAAAAAAATAAAATAGCTAGTTTGGAAATCTTGGTCCAGTCACTTTCACCCAGCCCTAAGAAATAGGTAATGGCAAGCCACCACTGAAAAACCTTGCAGGGACTTACCCAGGCAGTGAGCGGAAGAAAAAACAACCAGTCTTTATATACTGAGTTGATGAAGACTTTTTAAATGCTGTTGTTTAATGTGTTTTCCTTTAAACAGGGAAGAAGTATGTTTTCTCATGACTATGTTTTCTGGTGTGGTGATTTCAACTATCGCATCGACTTGACTTATGAAGAAGTATTTTATTTTCTCAAACGACAAGACTGGAAGACTCTCTTGGAATCTGATCAACTGCAGCAACAGAAATCCAGTGGAAAGGTAGAGCTGTCACACTTACGATGGTTGCAACATCCTGCAGTTACCTGATCGAATATTTGCGACCTTCCCTGCTGGTGTCCCACAAGCAAAATCAATGGGGAAGCTGGCAGGGAAGATCACAAGTTGTTCAGTTAAGTCTCCCTAACCTGCAAATCCTCCCTCAGGCCCTTTGCACTTGAGTCCTGCCTCACCAGCCACAATCACTCCCTTGTGTACCTTTCCCAACCTTTCTGCACTCACTCTATATCTCCTCTGTCAATTGCATATCCCCCAGAGCAGTGGCCCCCAACCTTTTTGGAACCAGGGACCAGTTTCACGATTATTTATTCTTCCACGGACCGGTACCTGAGTAACGCAAGACTCCACCGCCATCGGGACGGCTCTTTGTTCAAAGCCGCCCCCCCCCTCTTCGACGAAACTAAGGCGCGAGCACCCAAACACCGCTTTCCAACTGAAAACCCGGAAGCACTTTCCAACCGAAAATCCGGAAGCAACCGAAAACCCGGAAGCGCCGTTGAAACAAGATGGCGGCGCCCAAGCTTTGCGGCCCGGTAAAAAATGATTCCCGGCCTGGTCCGGGGACCGGTGGTTGGGGACCCCTGCCCCAGAGCATTGCTGCACCTGCCACTCATACACCTTCACACATTTCCCTGAACCTCGCTATGCTTGCGCCATACCTCCCCTGCTATACATCACCTGTGCACCCTCCCATACTTAGCAGCAGTCACCCCACACCCCAATACACTTGCAACCTGTTTACTCATTCTATACCTCCCCAACCACTCACACTCCTTCCCCATCCAACAGCAGCCACTCTAACCCCCACCAATGGGCCACCATGTTCATGTGATGGCTCCCTGGCTCCCTGATGGTCATTGCTAAGCGATACAACTGTATCGCTTAGCCAGGGGTCCCCAACCACCGGTCCGCGGAACAAGTCCTACCGGGCCGCTGGTTTGCTGGGCGCCGCCATCTTTTTTTGATGAAAAAGTGCTTCCGGTGAGCTTTTCCGGGTAGAAAGCTCACCGGAAGCACTTTTTCATCAAAAAAAGATGGCGGCGCCCAGCTAATGCCGGTACCGGGCCGCGGCATAAGAAAGGTTGGGGATCACTGGCTTAGCAATATAAATTTCAGTTCCCATTGCTGTCATTACTTGAGGACTACCTGAAATGAGGCAAATGAAAATTGTAGCATTATGGAAATGGAAATTTGATCAATATCCATGCTGCTGTTTTTCACCAGTTTCTCTTCCCAGTTATTAAAAATGAAATTATTTCAGAGGATCTTTGAAGTTTGAAATGATGCCTCTAATTTATTACCGTATTTTTCCAAGCGGGTGGAAATGTCTGTGCGTCTTATAGAGTGAACATTGCAGTGGGGGGAGGTGGGGAGGTTGGTGCAGTGCCGATCAGCTGTTCTAGGCAATGTGGGTTGTCTCTGCCTATCATTGCTGTCACCCATTCACAGTGATCAGCGGCAAACAGGTGACGGCAAACAGGCTGCAGCGGCAGTGAACGGGCCATGGTGAAGTGGGGCGGCAAATGGGCCACGGCAAACAGGCCACGGCGGCAGCAAAGAGGCAGCAGAGGCAGATTTTTTTCTTCTTTTCTTCCTCTAAAACTGATGTGTGTCTTATAGTCCGAAAAATACAGTAGTTCGTACATATTATTGAAGTTGTGTGGTTTTTATTCATACTTGCAGAGTTAATTGTAGCATGAATGTTTTATTGTGCTGTTCTTTATATGATTGTGCTGTAAACCATTGAAAGCCTTCCCAGTAGACACAGAATGAGATGAGAGGAGATAAGATGACATGCATGGCTATCGCTATAAAACTTATTTTAGATTATCAATATTTTCTTCCATAGATTTTTAAGGACTTTCATGAAGGAACTATCAATTTTGGTCCCACATATAAATATGATGTTGGCTCTGAGGCTTATGATACAAGCGATAAATGTAGAACTCCAGCGTGGACTGACAGAGTTCTTTGGTGGAGGAAGAAACTTCCAATTGATAAAACAGGTTGGTGGGGTCCTTTTTACTCTTTCCTAGGGAATTCTTTAGCTTACATTAGTGTTTCTCAATTTTGGCAGCTTTTAAGATGTCCTTTAAGAACTTCAACTCCCAGAATTCCCCAGCCACCATGCTGACTAAATAATTCTTGGAGTTGAAACCTTCGCATCTTAAAGTAATCAAGGTTGAGATACAGTGGCTTTAGTTGTTTATGATTTTCGACATAAAAATCAGTGCTCAGTTCTGAAACTCCATGTGTAATTTTGCAAAGAATACTATTTTGTTAATGGAATGTAGTTCACACCACTGAGAAAATATTTCTTGGGAAGAGGGCATGATGCTGATCTAAGAAATAATCCAGTGTTTCTCTCATTACTTAAAATATTTACTTGTGTGCTGAAAGTTTGATTCAGTAAGAATTTTACTCATTAACTTACAGTAAATACTAGGGTCGTCTTGCTCTGGTTTCTATCAAACTAACAGTTGATTTTTAATTATATTTCATGCTCAATTAGATTAGTAATCACCGAAGGCCTTTTTTTTTGCACCCAAGACATTTGGAAATGCTGTTTTATGTCAGTTCCCCTCCCCCCCCCCCCCCCCCCCCCCCGTGTGTGTGTGTAACAGAGCACAAATTACTGCTTTAACTTCATGAGTGGTCATGTAAACAATGAACTTACAGGAATTGGTATTATTTATCATCATTGTATTGTCCTGTTGCAAGACTCCTTTAAATATAATTATATAAATAATTTACACCCTTCTCGTCTATTTGGTGCCAAATGAGTGAGGAGCTATCATGCAGGCAACATACCTAGTCAAAATAATGGTGAGTTTGTTTAGTTTCAATTTAGTAAATGGGCTCATGCATCTCCCTTAGTTTTTTTAAAACCCTGATGAATGGCTTAAGTAAAATAAAGCCCTCAACTATTGTGGTTTGCTGTTATGTGTGAATCAGGCACATGGTTCTGGAGCAATGCTTGAAAGTTTGCCTTCATGACTCTTAATTCTAAAGCTATTGTTTTGTTTTTTCATAGCTGGACAAGTCAGTCTTCTTGATAGTGATCTCAGTGCTGAAACCAAAGTCGGACCCATTTGGTCTCCTGGTGCCCTGATGTATTATGGAAGAGCTGAGCTCCAGGCCAGTGACCACAGGTAGCATCTTCTCTTCTGGAGTGTCATGGAATACATGTTTTGCCCTTATAAAACCCAGACATAACAGATAACTCCTCCATTTAAAGTGGTCTCTTTTTATGACTTCAGAAAATCACTGCTGGGAAGCAGAATAAATAGAATTGGGCTAGTTGAACCAAAGATCTGATTTATTATAAAGCAACTCTAAATTATCACAAATATTGACCATTGTTGAGAGGCAAAAATAACTTTTCAAGTTATGGTAGTCTTTAGTTCAGGTCCATAAGATCCTTTAGTCATTTAAGGATTTAACCTGTAAGATTTCTGAAAAGAATCTTAGGTTGATTCCTGCTAAACTGATAGTGTAGATGTAAAGCCCATTTCCTCCATTCCCTTTTAAGTATAAAAATAATCAAAAATGCCCAAAAGTGCAGTGGATACCTCTGTTAAAATGCCAGGCTTTTGAAATATTAAAAAAGAAAATCAGACCAAAATAAATTATTTTAGAATTTTTGCACTTGTATCAACAGTATCATCAAAATTGGCAGACCTTATAGAAAAATAATCTATATACGTGTTTATATATTTGTGGCATAGGGCTGGGCTTTGCCTTAACAGTTGAGTTATCCATTCAGCCTCACAACAATATTGCCATGCTTTTTTTCAAGAGGCAACTGGACTTGCTGGGTTTTTTTTTAAGACATTTTGCTTCTCATCCAAGAAGCTTCTTTGGCTCTGAGAGCTGAATAAGCTTCTTGGATGAGAAGTGAAATGTCTTCAAAGAAAAACCAGAAAGTCCAGTTGCCTCTTGAAAAAAGTATTTTTGGGATCATCCATGACCTGGATGACTGAGAATCTCCATAGACATGCTTTGCAACTTTAGAAGGAATTCCAGGAGAGATTCCCACGTTATCCCTTGCACAGTAGCATTTTGCCAGATTCTCAGGAACATCAAGCCTTTTATAGATCTTATGGAGAACGATATTCCAACATTTCCATCTGCTTTGTGAACTATAGAGAATATATAGAATATTCTTATATCAGTCAAAATTCATTTCTTGTTTCTTAATGAAGCAGTTCTGGAGCAGAAGTGGTAGAACTGTCACTTACCTTTGTTCTAGTTACCTTTGACTAGAGCTGCTGGAAAGGTTAGTTTGCAATAGCTGGTGGGCCTAACTCTAACCTGCTAACTATCATTCTTCATTCTTGTACATGTATTTTAGTTGTGAATAAACTTGGACATATTATAGACACAATCTGAGGACTGGGGGGAAAAACAATGTTGTGTGCCAAGAATACCTCTGCCACATTAAATAACAGAGTAATTGTTAGGATTGTTTTATTGTGTCTCTGGACTCCTAGAGATTGTGTGGAGTCAACTTGGGTAGATAAATGAGCAGATGTAATCAATAAATAATTTCAAGCCTCCCTGTGACTACTTATTCATTGCCTTTTCCCCTGTTAGGCAATTATTTATAGGATCAGCTATCAGCTTTTCATTATTAAACAGATGTAGTATGCTGCATAAGTTATGCTGAATAATAGTTTGAGAAGCCAAGTAATCAAACAGTAATATTAAGCAGATCTAAGTGATTTCAAATAGTTGGGTTTGACAACTGATTTTTCAATAACCTGTCAGCATTTTATCTTCTGTCCTCTTATCTGCCTTCTGTAATCCTTATTACCTTTTTTTCTTTCCTTGTTATTTCTCTGTAGGCCTGTTTTAGCTATTGTGGAAGTGGAAATCCAAGAGGTTGATGTGTCTGCTAGGGATAATGTTTTCCATGAAGTATCATCGTTTCAGGGGCCTCTAGATGCTACAGTGGTGGTGTCTCTATTGTACTGTTCCCCTGAAGAGAAAGATGAATTTCCTGAGGATTGTCAGATGGAGCTTATGCAGATCTTTGAGACTTACGGCACTGTTGTGCTTGTCAGGTAAAATAAGATGTTCATTTTAGAAAGTAATCTTTGGATCTTAATTTTGAAGAGAATTTTCCCTCATGGAAAGAGACTCTTTGAATATAAAGGAATTGTTCCATTAATATAATTCCAGAAGAAGAGGGGGTTATAAATCTTAAACAAACAAATAATAATTATTCAAATTTTTAATCAAATTTCCTTTAAATTGTGGAGTAAAAAATTAGGGATCCATGCCAGTAAAATATAATGATGTTAGAGAACACTGATGGCCTAGAACTTGTTAATGTAATAATAGTTCAATAATTAATGAATGTTCAATCATTAATCCACCATTTTAAATAAGAAATAACTCAGCTTTCTTATCTACTTATTGGATGCTGATTAGAAATTACTGTAGTTCTGTCAAGACATATAGAGTTTATTTGATCTGTGTTTATCCTTGTTAGGATCAATGGAGGTCAAATGTTGATTACGTTTTCAGAAAGCAGATCTGCTCTTCACGTTCTTGATGTGGATGGCATCAAGGTAAAACAAATCAATTAAAGCTACTTGTACTATTTGAAATATTTGAGTGACCAAGTAAATCCCCTCATGATGGCTATTTCATTGAGAGAAAGCCAGCCAACATTGTTTGCCTTTCTGGTGGCAAATATAGACATCTTTCTCATATGAAATTGATATTTCCCTGAACACCAGCTTGTAGTTTCAGGTTCATCAGCTTTTTAAAATGTTAGCTGTTAAAATGATTCCCAAAGAATTGATTTCAAAATGTCAAGTTGTTAAACCAGAAAATACCTCTAAGCAAGAAGATTTCTTTGAAACCTTAACGAATAAATTCATTTATAATGTAATGAGCTTTTATATGGAGGTCATGACATAGTTGGTTATTTTTAATATATCACCTTTTGCTGTTCACCTCAAAAATCCATTTCTGTATTGTTTAGGGATTTGATAAAAACATCTGGAGGCTAATATTTTAAACTACACAATAGGTAATTGGAATACTCTCCATATTATACTGGAAACATTAGATAAATTAGCTGCCTTTTAAGGAGAATTTCATCAAATATAAATTGGGAAATAACCCTGAAAAAAATCAAATATCTCTAATCTGCAATAGTATCCATGCTCTTTAAATATATATTAAAATCTTTTGTCTTCAATTCACTGAACAGACTACTAGTAGTCCTTGACTTACAACAGTTCATTAAGTGATCATTCAAAGTTACAACGGCATTGAAAAAAGTGACTCAATGACTGTTTTTCACATTTATGACGGTTGCCGCATCCCCATGGTCACGTGATCAAAATTCAGACACTTGGCAACTGATTCATATTCATGGCGTGTCCCAGGGTCATGTGATCACTTTTTGCAACCTTTTTACAAGCAAAGTCAACGGGGAAGCCAGATTCACTTAATAACAGTGTTAACTAACTTAACAGCTTCAGTGATTCACTTAACAACTGTAACAAGGTCGGAAAAAGGGGTCAAAAACTACTTAGCTAATATTATACTCAGCAACAGAAATGTTGGCTCAATAATTGTGGTCGTAAGTTGAGGACTACCTGCATTGCTTTACATTGTATTAATATCTGGGTCTGACTTGCTTATGAGTAATAGTTTGATTGATTGCAGGAAAAAATAATGTATTGGGGTTTCATGTCTAGATTAAAGGCAGGATTGTGAAGATTTGTCCTAAAACCAAAGATTGGCTGAAAGGTCTTCAAGAGGAAATTGCTAGGAAACGCGACAGTATCGCTCCTATGTCACCCACAGCAAATTCCTGTCTGCTGGAGGAAAATTTTGATTTTTCAAGCTTAGATTATGAATCAGAAGGTAGGTGGCCTAAGATGTAGGTAAATGTATAAGGTCTGGTCAGGAGGCCTTTTTCTCCATGGAGCCTGACTGGGATGGATTGCTATTCTCTTTGCAGATCAGTATAATTTCTTTTTTTTAAAAAAACAAAACCCAATCCCCTTTGTTTTAGCTAAAATGTTGGAAGAAAACAATATTTCTTCAATTTTCTCATTCTGCTGTAACGTTTTCCAATTTAGGTGATATCTTAGATGAGGAAGATGATTATTTGGATGAAACGTTGTGTGCCGGATCCTTTGAAACAGAAACCGTATCAACAACGGAAGAGTCGGGAGATGGATCAGAATATGTCAGCATGGCATCTACCATACAAGCAAACAAGTCACATCTTGCTGGAAGAAAACCATGTCGGTATAAAGGTATCCATCCTTTCATGATGAAAGATAAATGAACCCATAGCCATAAATGCTGGTTGGGTCACTCCAAGAAGGCTTTTCTATTGGAATAAGTAAATCCAATTAAGTAGACAAAAGTTATTTCTACGTTAGAGCTATTCAGATAATTAATGATATAATTGGTTTTTCTGTTAATGACTTAAGACTTTCTGGGACAGAGTGATGTTGCCCTGGAGATACATCATAATTTGAACTCTTTTTAAGGATTAATGAACCAACTTGATTGGGGTGGTTTAGGTGTGTGAATGTCTATGCCAGGGGTCCCCAACCGCCGGTCCGTGGACCGGTACCGGTCCGCGGAACAAGTCTTACCGGGCCGCTGGTTGCTGGGCGCCGCCATCTTTTTTTGATAAAAAAGTGCTTCCGGTGAGCTTTTCCGGGTAGAAAGCTCACCGGAAGCACTTTTTCATCAAAAAAAGATGGCGGCGCCAGTGCTTCCGGTGAGCTTTTCCGGGTAGAAAGCCATTTCTACCCAAAAAAGCTCACCGGAAGCGCTGGCGCCGCCATCTTTTTTGACGAAAAAGTGCTTCCGGTGAGGTCACCGGAAGCACTTTTTCTTCAAAAAAAAAGATGGCGGCGCCCAGTTGATGCCGGTACCGGGCCGCGGCGCCCAGCTGATGCCGGTACCGGGCCGCGGCATAAAAAAGGTTGGGGATCACTGGTCTATGCCATCCATACCTTTTGCCTTTACTGCTTGGGGGCATTATATGCACTCATCAGTTTTGGAAATCTTTGAATGACCCAATTTGTTCATTATTATACTTTCTGAGTCGGCATTATAGCTCAAATTTTTGTGCCATCATTCTGGAGGATTAACAGAATAGGCCACTTGATTTCTGACCAATCTCCCTTATAACTAGTTGTTTCACCACTGGGAATAACAGGAGGCAATGAATGACTGGTTCAGTTGATTAACTCTGATACATTGCTATTTGATAGATGTCGATGATTGAATGTGACTCATAGAACCCTTGGGAATTTTCCGCATGTAGCAAGCAAATATTAGGTGTTATATGGTTATTTCTCGGTTTCCTTCCTTCCTGGATAATTTCAAGGGCATCAGTTTTCCTCAGTAGCGTTTTGTTTTCTAATTTTACATTCTTTTGCCACGTTCACTAGATGATGCTGACTTGGTTGAACTAAAACAAGAGTTTGAAGGAAGTGCGAAGTTCTGTCATCGCTCCCCAACCAGGTCTCTGTCCGTGCCCGGTAGGCCTCGGCAGCCTCAGCCCCCCCAGCGACCTCCCCCACCAGGTCAGAGTTTGTGTTTTTTCTCCAAGAGCTTCTACTCGGTGGGGGGAAAATGTCCTGATTTTTGAAATGTCAAGTCTTGAACACATGAGGAAAGCAAGGTTGCAAACACTGTACACAGGAATATTTAGTTTCCTCTAAATCTTTTTTGCCAAGAAAAATTGGATTTGTGTCCTGTACAAAGAACCATTCTGGAGAACCATTTCCCACTGTTGTCCAAATTGTGCTAACTTTCAGCTAGCTGTTGCATCTGCTTGAACTATATACAGGTAGTTCTTGACTTGCAACCACAATTGAGCCCCAAATTTCCATTGCTACACAAGACACCTGTTAACTAAGTTGCATCTCATTTTATGACCTTTTTGGCACAATTATTTTCAGGATTTTTAAAATTAAAAGCTGGCCAACCTGTCAATATTGGATTTGTGTACTTATATTACACCACCTCCCATTAAGAAATTATTTATGTGTTTTCCCTACAGCTTCAGTGCCCATGAAAAAATCCCCATCAGATGGTTCCATCTCTTCAGGAAGCTGCTCCCTGTCCTCCATCTTGGATACAGCAAAGCTTCTTCCAGGAGCACCACAGCACCCTGTGAGTAGTTAGCTCAGTACAATCACTTCAAGTACTGATAAGAATCACTCAATGTAATGTTAAGCTAAGGTTCTCTTATGAGAAGCACCAAAATACCAAGAAGGTCTTGAGCTCTAAATCACCACTACCAGGCATCCTAAATAGGATATTTTTGGAAAATATAAAGCACTTTCTCCAACCTAGTGCTTTTGGGATGAGATGGACTGCCATAATTCCCAATGGCCATCTATCTGGGTTGATGGAAACTATAATCCACATCCAGAGAGCACCAGGCTGGGGAAGATTAATCCAGTAGCTGCTTTGAGTAAGTAGAAAGCAGACAAAGAATAGTGTAATTACTAATACGTGTCTGGCAACTAAAGAAAGGAAAGGCATATGTAAGAGGAGATGTTCCTCTATATACTGTAAATTAAGTTTCATGAAGACATGACCAGTAAAAAAAAATGATGATCCCCTGGGGGAAAAAAAGCAAGGTTACTTTCATGTTTATATACTGCTTTATAGAAGAGGCAGCTGTTGGATTTATCTTCCCTCTAGACTCTCTTTTTATTTCTCCTTTTTACATTTTCCTGCAAGCCAAAATCACGAACTGGAATTAGTAAGCCATACAACGTAAAACAGATCAAAACCACCACCCCAGAAGAAGCTGAGGAAGCCATTCGGTGTCTGATGCAAGCAAAAGGAGGTATGGCCTGTTAGAAGCTTTGATGATATTCTTTACTTAGAAAACAAAAAAGCCAAACTCACAAGTATTGGATAGTATTGGTAATGGTACATGTTAATAAGATCTGGGAAGAGTGATCTGGTTCCAAAAAAAAAAAAAATTTTTTTTAACTAGGTTACATCAATAGAATTGTGGGAATTGTTCCACTTTATTTGGCTTTGATCAGGGGGCCCTGCCAATTACTGTGTTTGGCTTAGAGCACTACACTTAAGAAGGATTCAGAGAAATTGGGACAAGTTCAAAGAAAGTCAGTGAGAATGACCAGGGGACTAAAACCTTGGACATATGGAAAGAGGTTGAAGAAGATGAAAAGTGAGGAAGATGGCAAAGCAGGAATACGACAGCACTCTTCAAATATTTGAAAACATGTCACACAGAAGACAATTACAATCTGTCCTCTGTCATTCAAAATGCAGAATACAAAATAATGGAGTCAAGTTACAGATTGCATTAGGAAGATTCTTATAGCAAGAGCTATTTATCAGGGAAACTAATTCCTCAAAGGAAGTTCCTCTTCATCAAATGTGTTTAAATCAAAGCTGGATGCTTTAAATTGGAGTTTTAAAAGCTGAGAAGAAAGCCTTGGCATTGATAAGAATGGGGCAAAATTGTAATGGAGTATTAGCTCTAACAGAATACCAACTGAGCTCTTGATGGAGGTGCAGATGCTGGTGGAAAGCTAGTAACACATCCAAGTTCTAGCAACACAGAATGGCCAAATTGAGGACAGGTTCAGAGCAGCCCAGAATATTGTCCATCACTAGTATTGGTAAAATTCTCAGGCACTGGAAGATTTAGAAAATACACTTGAAGACATAGAGCTCTACCAAGCAGTGACAACAGTCCAGAATCAAAGGGTCATAACAAACCATACAAAGGGGAAATAGAAAAGGAGAAGGATAGACCAGTAAATCCAGGAAAAAGAGGCAAGTTAAGCAAAAGTTAAAGCAGAACAAGGACACAAGCTTTATTAAAGAAGGTTGGGAAGTAGATTATATAATAAAAAAACCTAGGATTAGAGAACAAAGTGGAAAATAAAAGGTAGAACAATAAGGCTTCAAACATAATATAGACAGAAAAACTCTTTTCCAAAAAAATCTTAATTTTTGCTAGAAATCTTTCCTACTAAATTCCATTCGTACAGGAACTACTATTCTTCCTGTCTGGTACCATCTCACAATCCTTCTCCCCAACTTTTTCTGAATTGAGTGTTTCAGGACAGATTCTAGATTTAACTGCAATGAACACATCACTTTTAAATATTGTATAGTAAAGGTTGATTGTCATTTTTACATGTTGATTTTATTTCACAATATAGATGTGAACACTTAAAAGTTATCCCTATAAGGCACAACAACATTTTCCCAACAAGATAAACTTTGCAAAACATTTTCTCATGTTCTGAATTGAAAAGGAAAAGGCTGATGCTGAGAATGAACTTTCTATGCCAATAAAATAAATGGGGGAAAAAAGTCTTGAAATTCAAATTGCTCTTTGTCCTTCCTTGCCTTATCAGTTAGTAAGGCTGGTAAAAATCCTTTTCTTTGGCATGCATTTTTAGCCTAGATGTTGGCAGGTTTTATGCAAGTGGTAACATGCACTGTTAGAAACAAATGCTACTTTGGATATATTGAATGCTTTAAAGAAACTGAATGCATTTTTTATATTTCAGTAACACCCCAGGAATCCTTGGCTTCCATTCCAGCAAGAACTCAGACTGTGACTAAACCTGAATTCATTCCCGGTGGCCCAAACTCAGCACCTCTTCACAGCCTCCAGCCAGCCCCAGTCCTCATACCTCAGCGCCCCCCACCTAAAGTCCCAACTACCAAAAAACCTGCACCTTTGCAGAAAATGGGAGCCAAGCCAGGATGTGTAAGTGTCAATATAAGGCTCTTCCCTCTGCACAGAAATCATCCCTTCATATAGATGACGTATTTAGTGTTTGCAAGTAAATTACAAGAACTTCCATTTTTGTGGGGAGTTTTGTGTCTGAGATGTATTTAGGAAGATAGAGCTTTCACATTTTGCTTATAGACCTCCTTTCCTAAAACAAATGTAAGAAATGTGTAGGGCCTAACTGAGACCTGAGGAAAGAACTGAAAACTCTCTTTTCCTGTGATTGAGGCAAGTATAGATTCTGTTGAATTGAACCCTTAATAGTTGGGGAGTGGGGATTAGAGAAATCTGATTCAAGTAGCGCTATTCTAACTCAGGCTAAATCAAAATCTGAACTATCCTGTATAGCTTCATTGGTAATTTGAAATGTAGAGTTACAAGCTGTATATATTCTGCAGAAGAGAAAACTCCAGGGTTTGGAAAGGAGGAGAAAAGAGGAGAGATTGTAGTTTGTGATGGATTGTAGCTTTGAAACAACAACTCTCTGACACCGGGCTAACTCTAACCCTCCAGTGGCCAATGCTCTTAGCTTAAAGCATTGTGTCACAGTGGTTAGAATGCAGTATTGCACTTGCAGGCTACTTCTGCTAACTGCCGGCTGCTGGCAGTTCAAGTCTCCCCGGTTCAAGGTTGACTTGAGCCTTCCATGCTTCTGAGATTGGTAAAATGGAAAGCCAGATTATTGGGGGCAATATGCTGACTCTGTAAATCGCCTAGAGATTGCTAGAAACTAAAGCACTGTGAAGCGGTATATAAGCTTTACGTGCTAAGTGCTAATTATCTCTTGATCTCAGAAACATTAAAATGAGTATCCATGGGATTTGGAGGTAATTGCACATATTGTGGAGGTTTCGCAGCTATTGTTTTTCGGAGTTGCACTGCTATGCTGTATACCATTTACATATTTATTCCGAATATTTGTTTGAAAGAGGGAAGGCAGAGGGGGAGAAATGGGAAACTTCCAATTTGTCCAGATTTCCTTTCTAATAAAAAAAAACAGAAACAACTGCTTCTTTGAACTACTCTGCATTTTCTGTTTTGCTTTAGATTTAAGGGGTTTTGAAGGAAACCAAAACGCCTGCTAAGAAGATACAAATGCTGTGTGCCAAATTATAATGGAAAAAAAAACGTGTGGTGGGCAGGGGATGAAAAAAATTGATAAATTAATCTACCACAAAGCAAGTTTGGTTGCCCTCTCCCCTCTTTGGAAGAGCTTAATAGCTCCCGCTACCTTAAGAAAGTTCAAAACATTCTTAAAGATCCATCTCATCCTGGGAACCCTTTTTTTGAACTATTACCATCTGGCAGACGGTACAGAATAATAAAAACAATGACAAATAGGCTGAAAAACAGCTTCTATCCCAGGGCAGTAGCTCTTTTGAATTCTGCTGTATAGTGCAGTATTGGAGCGGTGTCGGGGGTTTTTGGTTCAATGTGTGGAGGGGAAGGATGTGTGTTGTGCTTATTTTCATGGTCATGATGTGTACTTAAGATGGTGTTTGATTTCGTTGTACGAGGTGCAGTGACAATAAAGTAAATTAAACTAAAGACTTGGAAGGTTTTTACTGGGAATTCTGCTTCGTGATATTAAATAGTGGGCTATATTGTAGGCCTTTTGTAGAAATTTGCTCTCCATGCTTCCCCTTTGGCTTAAAAATTGTAAAAATCCTACAAGGTTTATTGTAAGACTATTATGACTACAAACCACACTGATTAAATAGTTTCTTCAAGTGTAAAGTATAGGGACAGCAAACCACACTGGCGTTTGTATTACCAGAAGCACACACACACACACACACACACTTAAGAGCAAGAGAGAAATGTTTCTTTGTTAAATTTATGTGCCACCCATCTGGTCCAGAGATGACTCTGGATAGCTTTGTTTCTAATGAAAGGTTGGTTGAAAAACAATTAATGGTCCTTTTTCCCCCCTCAGCCTCCTTCTCCAGAAGAGCACCTTGAGCAAACCGTGAGTCACTTCTCCTCTGCATCTCCAGAAACGTGTCTGGAAACCACAACTATTACTGGTTCTCTTAAGACTGTCCCCATTCCTAAGCCAAGGACCATGCATCCTGGCAAAATTACTGAGAGGAGCAACAGCAGCAGCAATGAAAGGCAACCAACTCCCTTGTCTCTTTTAGAGGAAAGTTCTCATATTCCTTCTCTGAACTTGACTCAGGCTCCAAGAGTTCCCCCAAGAAGAAAGAAGTCTGCTCCTCCCGATTTTCACCTGCAAGTACTCCAGAACAGCAATAACCTGTTTCTAAAAGGGCTGACATTCAATTCCAACAATAACGTTCCAACACCATATTTTTCCACAGTGGATTCTGACGCGCTGCCATCTTCTCAGAGTGAACCCTCTCTTCTTGCTTCAACAGTGGTGATCAGCTCAAAAGACAATGATGCTAAGCTCTTGAGGCAGACTGGTTTAGAATTGATTGGTGGCCTACAGGAAACTTCTCCATTGAGGATTCGGCAACAAGAGCAAGCTTCAGACAATCCTTGTCCAATGGAAAATACCAATTTGCTAGACTTGGAAGTAGACTTTGCTGCTTGCCAGCCAGTGATCCAGCCGTTACCACCCAATCCACCTCCTGCTTCACAAAATTTGAAACACTCCTGTCCAAGGGATTTCAGCCACTGGGTCACATTTGGAGAAGATGGCAACAGTAGTACTATATCTCAGGGTTAAGCTCTGACCTCAGTTTAAAACTATGAACTCATTTTTGTACGTTTTTTTCCTAGAAAAACACTTTATGAACTTTATGATAGAAGGAAGTTCAGCAAATTATGTACGGCAATGGTCCCCAATCTTTGGGCTTGGCAGTCCGGGAGGGGGGAGCTCTGCAAGTAGTGGCCTGCTACCACTTGTGCAAGTGGAGCTGTGTGCATGCATGCGTGCTGGTGCACCACGCACTAGTGGAGCTGCGCATTCGTGCCAGCCCACCTCTCGTGCGCCCAGTTCCAAGTAGGCTACAGGCCAGTAGTGGGCCGCAGCCCAGGGGTTGGGGACCCCTATGTATGGTATAGCATTCGTCTCTTCTCACGCCTTGGTGATTTCTGGTTCAAGTTTAATAGTAAATTCAATAACAAGTATTTATTTATCGTATGCATGTGTGCGAAAATGAGGCCTGCTTCAAATACTCTTTACTTGCACTTCGCTCATTTCTGAATCCCATCCCACAAGTGGTTGCTTGCCCTGTAGTTTTCTACTGTAAAAAGCTGAGTTAATTCTGCTTTATATACTAAGAGGTACTCTGTCATTCTTGAGCCAACTGCATGCTTAGAACCCTAGTTCACAACCATAAATTATTTTTTATCCTTGTTATCAATGTATGCAAAGTAGGAACGAATTTGAATTTCAAAAAGTTGGGAAGAGAAAAAAATGATAGTCTGATTCTGTCTAATAATAGCTGTCATTAATAATATAGAGGAAAATCCAAGGTGGTTTTAGAAGTGGCATGGTAAGCTTGGGGGCTAGTAGTATCCAAAATAGCCATTCAAGTTCAAGCTGTGATGGAAAACCTTCTTTAGGATTTTAGAAACATGCCTGTATGAAGACATGGAAATATATACAGTATTTTGAGCAATGTGGTTGTAGATCTAGCCTGTTTTGAATCGGAGCCTGAAGGGGTGAAGGCAAGAGATGTATTCCCTTATAGATCACCTCATAGCAGAAATCATTGTTAATTTTCTGTTATATACCTAGATCTGGGTCTGTCTGGATTAATATAAGAACATATTACCTATGGAAGAAACTACCCATATATGATATAGGTAGGAAATAACACAGGTACACATATGAGTGGCTTCTATTCTCATTTTAAATCTCAAGTATTCTTCGGCTAATAAAATGTCCGGTGGGTTATGGGGGGAAAACACTAATTAGTATGGACACTGAAAGGCTAATATTTTTGTGCACAATTACCGGTATTTTACATCGTAAAAAATACAGTGATCTAGCTTTACAATTCAGGCAAGAAATTAAAATCTAGGATCTAGAATTTAATAAAGAATTATGTTGCTTTAGAACAGGGGTCAAATTTGCGGGCCGCAGGCCAGATGCGTCACATGGTGGCCCCACCCCCCTCGGTTTAGTGAAGGGGGAAAAATCCCAATATGTCACGTGACGCTGCCAGTTTGACACCCCTGCTTTAGAAGAGGCAGCGAAATTAATTTCTTTTTTATTTGGGGGGGGGAACGCAACATGTATTTTGGGCTTTTTTTATTCTGTTAATATTAAAAATGGTTTGTGAGAAACAAGTCATGGCCTATTCCTATATAGATATATATACGATGCAAGGTTAAAGGTTAATTACCTAACATATTGCTATTTTTTTTAATGAAATGAACCTTAAAGACAATAAAGTCGGAAGTGCCAAATCAAGTAGGTTATTATAGTCTCCAGCAATATTTCAAAAATTGAATCAAATAAAAGAGTATGTAGCAGTAACATTTGCTTACTAGAAGACATAATTAATTTTGTACTCTAGTTGGGTTGCCTGTAACTCCCATGATCCCCTTCTGAGAAGGTTGTTGCCCTTGGCGTAGGACAGCTGGTTAGGGAAGATTGCTCTAACCCTCCCCTTTAATAAGGAAACCAGAAGCATCACTGATTATTTATGGCTGCATCTTAAGATGAAAAATGAACACCTATTAAAAGGAAGCCTAGTATACTGTTACTGACGATATTCTCTGCAACACAGATAATTTAACAGCTTTGTGGCAGGTCATTTACATGCTAATAAAAGCATTAGAAAGCAAGTTAATTGAAGTGACTATAAATTGCAAATGAAAGTAATTTTTATTACGTTACTTGAAGTGGTATCCGGCTGTTGGCACTATATCATATAACTTGCTGCCTAGTGAGATGCCTTATTAAAACTTGAATCTTTCTAGTAACATACTCTATGCCACTGATTGCAATTTATGCCACTCGCCCTGAGCAAAACAGGGCAAAAGTTTAAATAAATAAATAATAAACGTTGTCCTGACCAGTTTTTTTAAAACATTTCTTCTACTGAGTAAAAAATAACTTCTGAAAATGTCTAATAAAAAAATACTGTGCAAATATATCGAAAGTCACAGGCAACTTAAGGCAAGCAAAGCTGAATTTCAGTTACTTCATTCAAGACCAAATCATAGTCATATGTTAATCCACTCAACACCAGTAGTTTCATGATGCTATTGACTCATGTATCCGTTTAGACACAACAGTATTCATAGATTTGACATCATGGATAATTCACATGTTTATTTCATTATGTATAAATTACCTCATGATAGGTAACTTGTTGGAAAGTTACTATACTGGAAGAATATGGTATTTTTTTTCTAAATGTGTAATGTTACAACTGTAGGTAGCAATGTAATGATCAAGTATTTTTTTTATGTTTACGACATGCCCTTTTTTAATCTGCTACAGTAGTAAAAAAAAACAAGAGTTGTCTGAAAAAGTATACACAATACTATTTAGTACACACAAAAATATTACACTTTAGGTAAATTACATGCTCTTTTGGATGGGTGGCAATGGGGATGTATACTTCAGATGGCTCAAACAGTAACAAATGTTTTTGACACAAGGAAATGCTGCCAATTGATATTGATAACCATTTCCCCTTTGTCTACAAAAGGAATCTGCTTTGCTACAAATATAGTGACTTAATTTATCATTCTAAAATCATAGACAAGGTTTACCAAGGTTCCCTTAACCTCCACACCATGGTTTGCAACATCTGACAATATCAGTGGTGGCTTCTCTCAATTATGTCAGTTGTTTTACCACGGGGATATTAAGCAAATGGAACATAAAAACAGGACAAGCAATCTTCAGGAAGAATTTTTCATTTATATGAAAAATCAAGCTATGGTTTGGCTTCATGTTGGAACTGGCTTTATACATTATATTACTTAAAATTCAAAATACAGCCAAAGGGAAGAATATCTACCCTCCTGGAGTGTTTCGCATTTTCAATATTGCAATATATATTTGGCAGGCTTATTCAGATTACATTGAGACTGAATTTTATCTTCTGAGTTTTAAAAAAAATTAAGTGGTTAAAAACATAATTCTGATTCATCTCAAGTAAGTGGTCCCTTGATTAATCCAGCCTTTTATGCAGAATCAAGCAACAATTCTGAATCTTCCTTACTTCATGAGGCATTTTGGTATAAGATGACCACAGGAAAATCTGTCGTCATAGAATTAAGAAACTGCTTTAGGTTTTTTTTTTTTTTTGGAGTAAAATAGTTTTGGGCTTGTTAACAGCTTTCCAAACACTGTAAAATAGCAAATTTACTGTATGCCTTTGTTTTCTGTTGGCATCCAGCTGCAAAAATACAGGTTAGGGTACATATTCATTTGTCATTACACATATTTTCTACTATATTTAAAATATCAATGTCCGTAAAGAACTTGATATCATGCAATGTGGGTGTGTGTATAAGTACATCAGCATGGGAGAGTAGATTTATGGCAGAGCATTTGCTCTCCAGTATGCACAATATATACAGGAACAAGTGCCCCCAACCACCTAGTGTCAACGACTGATATAGGATAACCATTAATGGCATAGCAGCTTTGCTTCTATATTGAGCAGAGAATGAAGATCTCTTTAGGTAAAACACATGCTTACAAAACAATGAAAAGACCTTCTAGGAGCCCAGATAACCGTTTCCTTGTCAAGCATTAAATGGAACTCAAAATGAACAACAATGCTTTGTACAATATACAACACCAGAAATACATCCACTGTTTCCCATTAAGCAATGGTAAAAAAAAATAGCTTGACTGTAATAAAACAGCCGCCCTGCCAAGGACAGGCCCAGATTCAAAGAAAAGTTGGCATAACTGCTCCAGTAAAAGAACAAATATGCACAGTGTGGTCGTTCAGTGATTTCCCAGCTCCCTTTTTAGAGAATCTTGAATAAACTTTAAGGTCTGTTGATACAGGAAAGATTCTTTGTTCTTCGGTTTGCAAATGTTGAGGTGGCTAACTTCTACCTGGATGAGTTCTCCAATGCCCAAATCTGAAACAGACACAGCGAAGAGCATTAAGAACACAGAAAAGACACCAATCACCTATTTACATTCAAAGGACTCTCCCTGCTTTCTAGGGTCTCCAGGCAAGATGGCAGCCTATCTGTCTGACCTTTCTCCGAATTGGAATCAGTAACAAATAATTAAAAAGATGATGCTTGAACCAAATTCTAAACAGTGTATAAAACAAGGTTGGAGCATACCTGAAAATTTATTTTCGCTGCAGTAATCCATAAGCTGTTTAACAGGATGTCATACATAATTTGTGTCTTAGCCGTTTGAGGAATATGTGCACCGGTTTGAAATAACTTTTTTAGTCCTTTCTACACAATGCGTAATAAAAGAAAAACTGCACCTTGTTTTCAGGCCAAACATACATACAATTATACACCAAAGTACAGGTAGTCCTCAACTTACCATTGTTTAATGATGGTTACAAAGTTATGGCACTGAAAAAAAGCGAATTATGACCGTTTTTCATACTTAGGACCACTGCAGCATCCCAATGGTTCACGTGATTAAAATCCAGACAGTTGGCAACTGGCTCATGACAGCTGTAGTGTTCCGGGCTTATGTGAACACCTTGTCGCCTTCCGACAAGCAAAGCTAATGGGGAAGCCAGATTCACTTAACAACCAGCCTAATTGAACAACTGCAGTGATTCACTTAACAGCTGTGGCCAGAAAGGTTGTAAAATGGGGCAAAACTCCCTTAGTGACTGTCTCACCGAGCAACAGAAATTTGGGGTCTCAATTGTGGCCTTAAGTCAAGGACTACCTGTACAATACAAAAATTCCCACAATATAGAAAAGCCAGAAGCAATAACTTCAAATTGAGGGCGAATCCAACCCTCGTATTCCTAATCGTTTACAAAAGAACTACATTTTGTTTGATAATACAGAAACCGTCCTAGTGAAAATAATTACTTACATTCCTTAAAATGTAAGTAATGAGCATATAAAGAAAAAAGGTGAGATAGCAAATTACTTTGAGATCTGTGGCATAATGATGGTTGATCCAGCGTTCCTCAACTGGAAGTCAATCATTAATTTCTTTATTTTATTTTTTTTACTTTTTCCATTAGCTCATTTACCTATCATTAAGATGTCTAATTTGGCCTTCTTTTAAGATGTGTGGACTTCAGCTCCCAGAATCCTGCAGCCAGCATGGCTGTCTGCAGAATCTTGAGAGTTGATGTCCACAGTCTTAAAGTTGCTGAGGTAAAGAAACACTGTTATGGATGACTAAAGGCAGGCATTTCTGAAGGGGAATTCTGAGATTGTCAAACCTGCAGAGTCCACTGGAACGACATGCAGACTCAGCATTCTGCCAACTCGTGTTGGCAAAGTTTCTGCAAAGCTTAATACTGGAAAGTTCTGGTTCTTGGCAAATGAGATGAAGTCGTCATTCAGTGCTTTCAGGGCAGGCGAATCTGGAAAAACGCATAAAAATGAAATGTGGATTTCTTATTTCAGACACTGCGTTTCAGGCAGAGGTCTACATTTATGTATAATGTTTTTCATATCAAAGGTGGATTTCAGTTCAGAAAGGTGGCATTTGCTGTCGTTTTAAAGGCTGAGTGCCAGTAGCAAGCAAAGCTAGATGGTATCATGCCCTCTATTTGTTCTGGTGAAGTACATGTAGCCCTTGGCTTAAACCATCCATTTAGCGACCATTCGAAGTTACAAAGTGACTTACAACCAGTCCTTGCACTTACAACTGTTGCAGCATTCCCCACAGTCACATGATCAAAATGTGGGTGCTTAGCAACCGGCTTGTATTTAAGATGGTTGGAGCATCCCAAAGTCACTTGCAATCTTCCCAGCTGGCTTTTGACAAGCAAAATCAATGCGGGAAGCCTGATTCACTTAATGACTGCTTGATTCACTTAACAACTGCAGTAATTTGTTTAACAACTGCAGCAAAAAAGTTGTAAAATGGGGCATGACTCACTTACCCACTTCCTCGCTTAGCAATGGAAATTCTAGTCCCAATGGTCACAAGTCTTTCTATGTGTTGCTAGCTTCCGACTGAACACAAACAAAATGGCTCCCGTACAAAAGATCTATCTATGTCAAAGTCTAAGTTATTTCTCTACCCGGGAATGCAAGGGAAGGAAAGTAGACTATGGAGCCCATGGACAGAACTTCCTGTACACAATAAATTGGGGTAGGTGGGCAGGTGATGCAGAACCACAGCTGTCCAGATTGGCCTTTAATGTAAATGTAATAAATAAATAACAGACAAGGTGGTTACAAAATGATTACACTTCAGCTAAGTTTGAATTGAGGATATGCCTGAACTTAACTAGAATTCCATTTGCGTTCCTATTTAATATTTGTTTCACAGAGTTCCTGATGTGGTCTGGGAGCAAATATTGGGGATACCTCATATCTGAACTGGGAGGCCCTGAAAGTGATGCCATGGGGCTCTATCAGAGGCCTTTATACTGGCCTCATTTATATTTTACATGAAACACAGATTTGGAGTCTAATGGAATCAGAACATGGTTGTCATCCAACTCTACCTCCCTCTTTCTATAGGAACACTGCAGAGGTTCTGAATGGTGGCCGAAGGCAACAGTAACCTATGGGTAAAGAGGTTACATTTAATTTGAGGAAACTAAAATGCTTCTGTCTCTTGCATTAAAATTCAAGAAGTGCTGGATAGGGTAGAAATTTCAGAATTTGGAGTCTTCTAATGCCTAATTTTTAACTAGTTCCACATAAACTGGAATTCTATATTCTACTGATAAAGATGCTAGATTGGAAACAGAGAAAGCTGAGCTCTGTTCTGGCTTAGGCACAAAAGCCAGCTTGGTAATCTTATGTTCACTCCTTCTCAGCCCTGGGAAGACAGCAATGGCAAACCACTTCCAAAAATATTGCCTAGAAAACCGCATTTCCATTAAGCTCTGTCAAAGGAATAAATAAAAATGAAGCTCAGTGTTGATTAGTGTCAATAATTTGGCTTTATTGTTAATATTTAACACACACACACACACACACACACACACACAGAGTGAGAGAGCTATAGAAAAGAAACCTATGTTTTAAATATACACATTCCAGAACTACCGCAAAGAAACAAACCTTTGCTGAGCTCTTTGACTTCCACAGAAGGGAAGAGCAGAAACCGAATATTTACAGAATATTCAGCCAACCGGGAGCCATGGTGAGGAACACTATAAAATACAATCCCCCGCGTGCTGTCCACTATGGAAGCCATTTCAGGGTCCATGGAAGCATCCAGCAGCATTTTCTTGACTAGAAGGCCTGAAAAGAAAAGCCTCCGTGAAATGGGATCGATGCAGGGCTGTGATGCTTATGACAGAGATACAAGACAGAAAATCACTCTCCCACAATTCATTGAAGACGTTCTGGATTGCTTTCTTTACAAAAAAACGAGGGCCAGTCACTCTTTCCTCCTCTGGAAAAGGAGGGCCTCTTTCTACAAGCCCCAGACCACCGGTACCAAGTACAAGAGATACCAAGTTGGCCATTAGCCCAGTCTGCTTATATGCATATGATACAGTTGTTTAGAAGCCTTCTACGGCCGCCCATATAAGCAATTAAGCAATTCTGGGTGGCTCACAGTAACTATAAAACTAATAAATAAAACAATCATAAAAACAATAAAAAACTGTAAAACAATAAAACAAAAAACCTGCAAGTTAAGTATCTCCCTCAGCAGGTTCAGCTTCCTTCTTTCATGTTTCCTATTACACAATTCCAGCACCTAAAATGGGAGATCCTTGAAGGAGATGGGCAGTATAGAAACGTGACTAATAGACAGACAGACAGACAGACAGACAGACAACCCTTAACAAACAAATAAACCAAATCTCAACAGCTTTCTGAAAGGCTAGAAGGGTGGAGGGTCTGTGGAAAAACACCAGCAGGAGCATATTCCACAGGTTAGGGGCAGCCATGGCAAAGGCATGTTTCTGAGGTCCCACGAGATGGCAAGATTTCAGGGAGGGGACACAGAGTGTGCGCACCCTATATGATTTGGTGGAACGGGTGGATAGTTTTAAGGAGAGATGGTCCTGCAAATAACCAGGTCCTGTGCCATGCAAAGTTGACATAACACTTGTGGCACACAACATATAATACATATCTTAAGGGAAGGTAGACAATGTGCACAATTGTGACAGCTTCTATATACAACCCTTCCTATTAAGTGCTGAATGCCAAGAACTAGGATCTTAATATTTTAGGGTAACTCTAAAGCCGAATGAGCTGCATATAGTCTTCTAAAGTGCAAAGGTCAAAAGAGTTCAATTCCTCGTAGAGGGTTTTGTATGCCAAAGAATACGATCTGGCTCCCTAGATGAGCCCCAGGTAAGATGAAATGGGTCACACTGTGCCTCCTGGCAGTCAATCCAAGCAGTCACATTAAAAATAATACTAATAATTTTCTTTTCCAAATCCTTTATGAATCTCTCTGCTTGCCCTTCAGACAAACAGCTATGAAAGTGCAGAAACAGACTTGAGGAGATGGAGGCACTTTAAAGTCACATCTAGAAAGCCTATTGGCACTGTGGAGTTAAGATGACATTTTTAGATAGAACCATTCCAAGTCAGTGCATGTGAAATCTTAGCTCCTCCGTTCATTTTTAAGAAGTGGGTGAGTGGTGAGCAAGAACAAGGGTTTGCTGGAGGGTGATCTCATGTTTCGAAAGATATATGGTGGATGCATCCTGTGCCAGAGGAAAGAGCCAATGCCCAGAACTTGAAATGTCAATATTCAGAAGATTACGAACAAATATACTGAAAGAATTATAGGGAAAAGGCCACTACTAAAAGTTGCCTCAGTTTCCAATGGAATGGATGTGGGAACAAGCAAGAGGTTATAGACAAGTAACCAAATTACTATTTTATTCATTGATTTACTAAATGATCAATGTAGGCCTAGTTTCTAGATATTGTTTCCCGGTAAACATAGCGCTTAAGGCCACATAAATTTAATTCATTGATGCTTTCATTATGCCCCCCAGCCCTCCCAATATTTCAGCAGACACTTGGGAAACCATAAGAAAGGGCTTAGAGGAGATGAGTAGTCAAAGAGATGCTTACCATCCTGTTAGTCTTGCAAAGGAAATCTACCAACAGGGTGTATTGGAACACATGAAGGGTCTAGGTTGTGTTAGCAGTGCAGTCAGGAAATAAAAGAGTGGCAAAAATTAAAGGAAGTTGGGCTCATTAAAGTTTGAATACAAACACACTAAAGAGGCAGATAGCAACACTCTATAGTATCCTATCCTATCAGTGGGGGAGTCCGTAACTAGCCATCCACATAAGGTTTTTATGGCTGTTTTCTGACAAGAATGGCATCTAGGTATAATAATCAGAATTTTCAGTAGAGAGCTACTGGAAAATCTACAAACAGCACACTGAACATTCACTAGCGACTGAAAACACATCACATCTAAACACACATCCCACATGCTACTATTATTGTAAATCCACGCGGGGATTGCTTTCTACGTGGCTCAAATGAATCTTATGAACATTGCCATTGAACAGAAGCAATGTACTATATTGACAGGGCTAACAAGCTTGAAATAGTTCACTTTAAAGTTGATACAGAAGACAATGAATTTACCGCCCATGCTATGCGACAGCCATACGAGAGGCCTGTCTCCAATCCCAGCAGCTCTTAGTTTCTTGAGAAGCTCAGTACTTCGATATGCAAGAGATTCTCTGCAGATGAGACAACAAAGAAAGCAAGAGAGGCAAATATAGCAAGGCAACATATTCTGAAGAATCAGGTTATTTCTTGGCAGCTTTGCTCCAATTTCCTTACACTCAGCTTGCGCTCCACCCCCGTAGCATCCAACTGTGTGGAAATATTGGCATGTTTTAGGCAGCAGTTCTGAAACTTTTCTTAAACCTAGAACATCCCATATTATTGAAAGGTTTAGAACCGTGTCCCCCCAACCTGGGCAATTTTAAGACTGTGTTCTTCAGGTTCTAAAACATTTAGCAATGGTCAGGCTATCTGGGAATTCTGGGAGCTGAAATCTTAAACTTACCAAGGTTAGATCAACACCACAAAAAACAGGTGTCAACAACTCAGTGACTTGGCACTATGAAACATATGGCCTTCCAAACAGATCTCATGGGACTCTAATTTAATTAAAAAGATAAGCAATTACTATGGAATCATTAAATCTCATCAGGTTTAAGCACGATTAGTGAGATTTTGGGTGGGAATGCCTAGATGCAAGAATATTTAAAAAAAAAAAAACTTGAGAGATTCCGTGATCTTGCAGATTCTGGCTGTACAAAATGTTTGCTTTAAATCAAATCTTGTTTAAAATAATGGTTAGCATCCAGATAATCGATTCAATATGCTGTATTTCACATGACGTGTATATGCAGTATCTTAGAACAGTTTTCTGGTATGCACAAGGGATTTTGATTGATATGTAAAACAGAATATTTAAAAATCATGTCAAAAACATGGAAATTAATGCATTACTTAATACTTCAGATAAGTATTCAAAGTACTTATTGTAAACAGTTATTTAACATCCCTTTAGATTAATATGGATATCAAAGAATCTCTATTCCAAATACTGAATTAAGTCAGCAGCTCTAGTATTATCCAAGTCAAGTCTCCTTTTGGGGGAATTGAAGGAGCAATTTTGGCAGCACATAATCACATTACCTGTGACAAAAATCACTGTTTTGGAAATATCAAGTCTCCCCACATATTCTTCAGGGAGCAACTACTGTCTATGTATGGTTGTATTAAGAGTATATTGAAAATGGTTTGACAAGATTATAGCAATTCTGCCAAAGGTTATTCAATTCTGTTAAACAAAGTTAAATTTTGTTAAAGAAATCATGGGTTAATGCAATGAACGAATCCACCTAAATATTTTAAGACTGATCTTGATCAACCCTGGCAGGGCTCTTCTAAAGTTTACATAATAGGATCAATCTGTTATCTTAATCAAATGCAGGTATGAATTTAGACTGCTCACAACACAATAAACATACAAAAATGTAACCTTAGTATTAAATATTAATGTAATCATGTTAATATATAAGCATTATATTCACATCTAACATGTACAAGATGTGTACAGAGACATAACACTGTTTCAGTTTCTACTCCCCCTATTCCTTACCTGTAGCTCTCTACAGGACATTTGGTTCTCCAGTCACTAAGGTGGGTATCATATTCCACAGAAATAATTCTAAGCGATGGGCAGTCAGATGCTAACCAAGTCTAAATTTGGAACACATGAAAACAAGACAGAAAACAATTGTGTTCAGATAAGTGTTTAAGCTTCAGGTATTGCAATGAAGACCAGCAACATACTTGCAAGCAAGACGAGTGAATCAGGGGAGTAAACTATAATTGCAGGTAATTCCATCTGAAGTGACTTGCTAGCAATGTCTATTGCCTTAATTTCAGCAACCCGGCATTAGTCTGATAAACAACCATTGTGTCTTAAACCCATAAATAAAGGGCCAAAAGTTTTCATTTCATTCTTCTAGGAGATAATGTTACTATCATTCTGTTTGGTGGATCCCTGCCAATTAATCAAATCCTCTGCATTTGGATATGTCAGCAGGCTTCAGAACGTATTTAGAAACGATCAAACTGTCACTTATGACTTCTTACTCTTCTAACAGCAGCATAAAGCAGAAATCAAGGAAGTGATACCTTCTCTGAGTTCAAGTATAGTAAAAGGGAAAAAAGAAAATGCTTTATCAGGAGAATCTTGATGTACATGTACAGTAAACAAATAAGTGTTGTGTTGGTGATTACATAGGTACTGTACCTCTCAATAAACAGCTGTTCACATAAATGCTGCTCTCTGTTATTTATGAATTCAACTGAACATAATGGAAAGGAACTCAAGAAAAACAATTGAAAAATATATATGAAATATTGGGGCCTACAAACTGAAGTTGAACACTTATAGAATAGAATTATTTATTGGCCAAGTGTGATTGTACACAAAAGGAAATTGTCTTGGTGCAAATGCTCTCAGTATACATAAAAGAAAAGATACATTAGTCAAGAGTTAAGAATCATAAGATATCATGGGAAAAGAAATGAATTATTAAAGCAATTATTAATTGGAGCCCTCAGAGCAATACCTAGAGGAGTTTCTCAATATCTGGCAGTATTGAATCTATGAAACCTGAATACCCTAACTTTATTTTTTTTTAAAACCACTCTGCTTGGAACTACCTATAACCTTGATGCAATTTGAATAATTCAATTAATCATTAATATTAATAATTCTTAGGTTCTTAGTTAGAACTTGAATTATTAAGTTTCTTCCAGTCTTAGAAGGTGAATCTAACATCCCTACCATCATCATTCAGTTAGTCCTTGGGTTTCAACAACAACCAGTGACCAGGACTGCTGTTGCTAAACTATGCAGTCTAAAATGTGATGTCATGGGATCTCATCGCTTAGCAACAGCAATCTTGGCAGTCCTGGTTCCTGTTGTAACTCAAAAGATGTGGTTAATAATTCTTACTTTTGGCCAACATTCACTGTAGTCATCTTCCACATCCAAGTCTCTCTCATCTGCAGAGTCCTCAAGGTCCTGTTGTCTCCATGTTTTAAATGCTGCTCCCAAAAGGCCATGAACAAAAAGGACATCAGCTTTAATGGGCTCACTGGTAGTGGAGAGAAGTCATAAAGAAAAAGCCATTATTAATGAGAGCATTTAGGCCAAGGGTCTTCAAACTTGATAGCTTTAAGACTTGTGGACTTCAACTCCCAGAATTCCTGAGCTAACGTGACAGGAGGAATTCTGGGAGTTGAAGTCCACAAGTCTTAAAGTTGTCAAGTTTGAAGAATTCCCAACATGCTACTTGGGAATTCCTGGAATTATAGTCCATGCATCTTAAAGCTGCCAAGGTTGAAAACCACTAATATAGGCATAGAATTAACTCTCAAATAAATACAATAATTGAATTAGTAAAACCACTGAATTAGTAATGGTAGAGACCAAAACTGATGGAATTATTCTAAGTTAGATTCCAGACCAGGGTGAGGAAACAAATGTTGGCTTATATCTCCTCACACCCTTACCAGTACTGAGGACATCGTTTAAAAGGTAAAGTTCTCTCCTCCTCGAACTTAACTCTGTTTCTTTATTTTATGAGATGCAGTGATTCATAAGAAAGTTCCTTCCAAAATCTCAGGTTTACTTTATTTTCTGCTCTGCTCTTTTCTGCAGGCTTCTTTAGCCAATTGAACTCTGGACTTCTTTCTATCTATTGTCTGAAACTATTTTGTGCCCCTTAGCAAGGTGTTAATCTTAGCTAAATTTACACCTTTCCCTTTCTCAGTCACTAATTTCCAAAGGCTTAACTGCCACCAGACTGTATAGACTAGGTTTCTCACAACATACTGCTGTCTTGAAAGTCTTGAGCATTATGCATAATGTACAGTATTAGCATCCTAATGGTAGTCCACAATACTGTAGGTAGTTCTTATTCGGAAACCGCAATTACAACTGGTAACTCGGTCATTAAGAGAAACTAAGTGATACCACGTCTGTGCTTATGATATTGCTTTACAGATCTGTGACAGTCGTAAATGTGAGGATTGGATGTCAAGTTACTTTTTCATCACTGTGTAACTGGGAACAATTGCTAAACAAGAAAGTCACTAAACAAGGACTACTTGTAATATATTTATAACGCATGTCCCTGAAACAAACCTAAAGCCCAAGCAATTTACACATGTTGACAAACATCTGTGAGATTAATGCAAAAGATTTTGTCCTGCTTCTGTATATTTGATCCATGCTGCGCATACCAAGAGCTGACTAAGGTTGAAAACATTCGCTGTCTATGCACCAAGGCAATATGTTGTGGCCTGTCAGCCACCAGCCCCTCCAGCAGCCAAATCAGAGGAAGAGGAGGTGTGGGAGTCAGGGTCAGCATCAAGGCAACCTGAGAGCTCCAAGGGGGAAGAGGCTAGCACGGAGGTGGAGTCTGGGCCATCCATCAGCCCTCAGATGGAGAGTCAACAGCCCCCAGGTCTGGAGGTGGGTGGATGAGGAAGAGGAGGAACAGCTGGGTCCAGTGCCTGACACGCAGGTGCACAGAAGAGAGAGAAGAGGAGAGCAGTAGAAATCCATGGGCCAATCCTTGGGAAGGAAGAGCCACTGCTGCTAATGAAGCCCCACCTTAGGGGCTTTTATCTGGGGATAAAAGGCAGAGGGCAGAGATGAATAAATGTGGCAGACCACTATTCATCTTCCGGCTGGCTGGTCTTGTTAGCCTATGTTGAGAGAGAAACTTTTTATCGGGGCTCCTACTAAAGGAATCATCGAGTTAACTTCAGAAGGTTTGTCATGTTTGGGGAGTAAGGTCAGAACACAACATTGAAAACCTGACTGAGTTTATGACAGTTCCCTGATTTTTTTTCCCCTTCCACTCAGAATACAGGAAGGGGAAACAGAAAGAAAAACTTTTCCCTACAGGCTGAACTGTTAATCTGCCGGAGTACATGGTTACAGCAATTTTCACGATTCAGTAGTCAGTCTCTTACAACTGGACGCCTGAATCAGCTCCAGTGCAAAGAGTGGGCTGTATCAGTAGATCAAATCATGTGTAAACTATGGTTACGAACAAGCCTGCATTACAACAGAGGCTTCATGTAAACAAGATAGAGCTTGCTTACTTGGTTCGACATTGTGGGTGTAAAATGTATACACCGTCTGGGTATTTTTCTTGCACCACTTCCCTGTCCAGATTAGCCAAGGCTCTTGCAGCGTGAGAGGATTCCATGACGCGTGGAGACTTCGTCATAGCTGCTAGTATAGAAACCCATCCTAGCATTGAATTGAATAAAACATTGGTATCACTGATCGTTACCTACTCATATGGTTTATTAATGAAGGTACACTTAAAAAGTAATAAATATGCAGGAAAGTACTATATACATTGACTGCTTTTCACCACATTTTCTCTGGCAATTCTCTGCAAAATTTGTTAGCAACTGGAAGTCTAAAAATTTAGTTTCTCCTGTTCATGTTTGAAGATATGGTGTAAGACTGATTATAACCAATAATGCATGCAGCAATATCAAGGCAGGCAGGCAGGCAGGCAGGCAGGCAGGCAGGTAGACATGCCATCCCATGGGTAAAATGTATTCTGTTTACGCAAAGTTTCTGCTATAAAAACCCCTCCAGAAATAAACAGTCATCCTGTCAGGAAAACCTTTGTTTTAATCATTCATCTATTTGATTCATTCATTCCTTCCCTTTTTTGAGAAGAGTCCTGAATAGAAAAATGCACTGCCTCACAAAATGCAGAAGTATAAGTAGTTTCTGATCATTTCCTTTTTTCCAAAGATAAATTCAATATATACCCATGTATAGTTTCTATACTATGCTCAACCAATGAGAATATATATTTGACTAACTGTATGAATTGCCTGGAATATTAAATACAGTGGAGCCTCGGGTCATGACCGTAATCCATTCCCGGACTCCGGTCACGACCCAATTTGTTCATGTCTGGAAGCACGACCGACTGCGTATGCACGCAGGAAAAAAAAATGGCGCCAAAGGGAAAATTTTGTTCACCACCCAATTTTTGAATCATGACCCGATTCAAAAATTGAGTGGATTTTTCATTTGCCACATGATTTGGTCGTGACCAGGAGCGTTCGCGACCCGAGGTTCCACTGTAACTTTAAAGTATTGATTTCCAAACCCTGTAACTCTTGTAAGGAAAAACCGCAAGACAAAATATTTTAATAATCCTTTTCCAATTAACAACAAATACATTCGCTATTACCTGCACGTGTTATTGATGCATGAAGACGTTCGTCTAATGCCATATTTCCAATTATGTGAATGATACTTCTTTGTATCTTGTGAGAATCTCTATGGAGGTGATACAACTTTTGCAGGAGTTGAAGTCCCTTGTTTGCTTCAATTTTATTACAATGGCTAGGGATCTGAAATGATATGAGAATTGCAGTGATGAGCTGCACTTGAACAGTGTGCAAATCAAGTATGAAATTATTTCATGCACAAAGTGTCCCGGGGGGTGACAGAAGGTGGACTATTTATTACCCGGACACTGAAATAAAATTAAAAGTGACTTGAGAATGTCTACACTGTCTATATTAAGCACAGGCACTACAGACCTATTTCCTCATAACATGACTTAAGTAGAATAGTGCCTACACATTTTGTAATTTATCTTGGGTTTTTAACAAGGCTTGAGCAGGGATTTTCTCTTCACGCCTTTACCTTGGATCTGAGACGGCTGAAAATGGCTGAGTTCAACTGTTTACAAAGTAGTAGCAAGTGTAGTGAGAGGCAGAACCCAGAATTAATATCATTAAAATTAACAGGTTTAATTAAAAGGACCTTTCATTTAATATTTGAAATATTTCTTTCATCTATTCTAAGAGCCGCGGTGGTGCAGTGATTAGAGTGCAGTATTGCAGGCTACTTCTGCTGATCACCGGCTGCCAGCAGTTTGGCAGTTCGGGTCTCCCCAGGCTCAAGGTTGACTCAGCCTTCCACTCTTCTGAGGTCAGTAAAATGAGGACCCAGGTTGTTGAGGGCAATACACTGATTCTGTAAATCACTTAGAGAGAGATATAAAGCAGGGGTCCCCAACCGCCGGTCCGCGGACCGGTACCGGGCCGCGGAACAAGCCTTACCGGGCCGCTGGTTGCTGGGCGCCGCCATCTTTTTTTGGTAAAAAAGCGCTTCTGGTGAGCTTTTCCCGGTAGAAAGCTCACCGGAAGCGCTGTTTCGTCATAAAAAGATGGCGGCGCCCAGTTGACGCCGGTACCGGGCCGCGGCGCCCAGCTGATGCCGGAACCGGGCCGCGGCGTCGAAAAGGTTGGGGATCCCTGATATAAAGCATTGTGAAGCGGTATGTAAGTCTAAGTGCTATTGCTGTTTTAAAATGAAAACCATATCCTATCATCATGAAAAATATGAATCATTTTCTAACTATTTGATTATATTGTCAGCTTGCTCGCACTACTGAGATCGAAAAAGGGCTCCAGGCCCAGACTCAGAAATCTCGGGCTAGGTGTTTCTGCTGCATTACCTTGGAATGTTCCACTAAAGCTTGCAGACAGAAGAGTTCCACTGTCTTTGCCGGTACGGTACTAAGACTTTCACAATATGGAAGTCCATTACCTCCAAAGCACCATAAGCCTCCCTGGAAGAAAAACAAGTTGGAAATTAATTTCAAAACAACAGAATGAACAATGCGAAGAACAATGTTTCTGTAACAGTGTGTAGAGTTTTGCATTTTTTAAAAAATTAAGCACAAAGAGTACTCTAATGGGTCAAAGGAAACAAGAGTCCATGTCTCACTTTACAGAAAAGATGCTGTAACTTTGAACCCTTTTAAAAATACTGCCCAGCAAGGTAGAAACATCAATATAATAACAGCCATTGGAGCATTCTTGCTACTAATATTACTTTCCAGGCAAATTACTCAAAAGGGATAAGAGAATTTAATATTTTGTAAAGGAACATTTTATTATTCTGGAGGCAAATTTTTTTCCAGTAAAAAAATTCCAGTAAGAATTTACTCCGCATTATCAGTCAATTCAAGGAACTGATGTAAATGTAATATGTATTCAACTGGAAACAAGCAAATATTTATTGCCGTCTTCTCATTCCTGCTGGCTCAGACCAACCCTCTAAATTAGAAACTTATTGGCAAGACAGAATAACAGTTGAACTTGTCTTCAGTTTACTTGAGAAGTAAATACCATTAAAAACCAAAGTATAAAATCATGGTATCCAATATTTCATTTTCCATCTTCAAATTTAGTCAGAGACTATGCCATCTTTTATATTGAGGATTTAATAGATCCATCTCCAGCTTCATAGGCCAACAAATCAAAAGACCCAATATGGTGTACAAAGAGTCTTAAGACACTATAAATGCAAATGAAAATGGGAACCCCAAATACAATACATTAAGGAGAAAACACACAAATTGAATGCCAGTTCTAAGTACACAGTTGACTAGAATGTTGAACTCTTTAAGTTTTGAGAATATACCTTTTGGGCAGCTATGGTCTGGCTGCTTTCTCTTAAAGCTAAAGAGGTAAAATACTGTACACACTGGTCAAGATCTGTTTGAGGTAAAGCTGCCAGTAGCAGTCGAAGTTCATCTTCTAAGCAACAAGTCTGAAATATGAAACCACAAACATTCCTGTTACTGTATCTTGTTGATGACTCACATAAAAAAACTAGGATTTGTAAATGCTTTTATGGTATGAAGCAGCATGAGTTTTAGTCTGTAAAGGTCCAGATTAGGAATGCAATCCTTTTCTGTTGAGACCATATTCCTTCAAGCATATTCTGATTAGGGAAATACGCCTAAGGTGGCAGGGCAGAAACCAGAGGATACTGCACAGACATAAAGTAACTTTTTTAAAAAAATATTTTATTTTTTTTATAATTTTTATTGGTTTTTAAGACATAGACAAACAAAATATAAATATATCAAGCCATCTTCCATATATATACATACAGTGTGCCAGTTGGTTTACAAATTGTTTTGTGCTTCCATTTCATAGTCTTCAATTACAATTACATTGTATATATTCTCATATTTTCAATCAAGTACTAAATACATTAATATCATTGTTAATCAATCATTTGACTATCGTTTTATTCATTCATGTTTTACGAATAATCATATTTTACTTAAATTGTTTTGTGACAGTTCATATTATCATCTCAAATCTATCCTACAATCATTTTGTAGATATAATAAGAAAAGAATACATCTTTATATATGTATTATTTTCTAAGAATCTACAAATTTCATTACCATGTTTTATTTTCTAACCATTGATAGAATAGATCCCAGATTTTATAAAATTGTTTATCATCTTGTTCTCTGATTTCAAATGTCAATCTACTCATTTCAGCACATTCCAATATTTTCTTAATGATTTCCTCCTGTGATGGTATTTTCTCATTTTTCCAATTTTTAGCAAATACAATCCTAGCCACTGTTAATACATTTACAATTAGGTATTTCAATTCTTTACTATATATTTCAGGTAAAATTCCCAATAAAAATATCTCTGGTTTCAAATCTATATGCTTTTTTGTCATTTTTTTCCAACCACGTGTGGATTTTAGTCCAATATTTTTTAGCATCCGCACAAGTCCACCACATATAGTAATATGAGCCAGGTGTCTGATGACATTTCCAACATTTTTCCAATTTGTTCTTGAACATTCTTGCTATTCTTGTCGGGGGAAATGCCACCTGTATCGCATATCATCAAGGTGGCCAGGCAGCTCTGCCCTGAAACAAACTAGGGCATGGTAGTTTCAAGACAGCAACTGTTAGATGTCTTATTGTTATTTCCCCTTTCACCCAGCATGGACTACTGGGTGAAAAAACAAACAGACACGGATTATTCTCCTGAAAATGATGCCCTTGGGGCAGCTAGAGTTTGCCTCAACTTTTGTCCTTTTTTTCTGACTTTCAGTCTCCCAGGAGATCAAATCATCCTAGGAAATGATTTCATGGCAGAGACTGGTATACTTAGGTAAAACAACCTAACAGCCTCAGGAACCGGCATTCATAGATTGATTAGAGATACAGTGCAGAGAAGTCCAAATCAGAAGAGAGCCCTCCAGGTTATTGTGCCTCTGGATCTTTCTTGCATTTCTTCCTTCCTCCTGAGACCAATCCCCCCCACCTCTCCCAGTCCTTTCAGTTAGGCAAAGAGCCTCTTCTCTTAGCATTTGATTGGGAAAGCTCAAATAAAAAAATAATAATTTCAGAAGTATGCCTGTCCTTATGGACGCTTTCCGGCAACTGCATTATGCTACATATCTCGGTCAATTCCCAAGTATTAATTTTCAAGTATCTAAATAAAAGAAGCTGCTGCAGTAAAGGCCGTTCAGATCTTATTATACATACATCTTGTGGATTCAGTAAAAGATGAGGAGGCAGGAAAAATCGCAGATCAACGTCTTTACTCCGCGCTAAAGCTATAGCAGTTCTCTGGTCGCTTGTTTGGGCAACAGTCCTGTACTGATAATCTGTACTAAAACAAATATAAAGTTAAGATTTTCACTAATCCGAAATATATTTTTAGTAAAAACTATATAAACAAGCAATACATCTTTGCAATTAAAAACCCAGTGAGGATAAGCTCTCTGTTTGAAACGGACTACCTACCTAGGGATGGCAGAAGTAAACAAATTCCCAATTTAGAAGAACAAGGACAGTGGTGGTTGTGGTGGGGGAGATTTAGCTGTAACGCTATTAACAGAACTGTTAACACCTGCAGTTTGTATTGTGAAACAAAAGTTGACAGTTTAATGTCAGACTCCTGTGGGCAGCAATAGCATTTTTAAAGCATTTCCAACAGGAAGTCTGAGCTCTCATTGTAAAACATCCACCCACTGGTTCTTGCTGAAGTAAGATATCAGAACTGAAAAGATTCTACTGTTAGAATTCTTTTATTAGAATTAGAATTCTTTTATTGCCCAAGTGTGATTGGACACACAAAGAATATGTCTTGGTACAAATGCGCTCAGTGTACATAAAAGATATATTCGTCAAGAATCATAAGGTACAACACTTAATAATAGTCATAGGATACAATAAGCAATCAAATCATACTAGGAAACAGTCAATATAGATCATAAGGATACAAGCGACAAAGTTATAGTCATACAGTCACAAGTGAGAGGGGATGGGCGATAAGGAGCGATGAGAAGATTAATAGTAATAGTAGTGCAGACTTTGTAATAGTTGAACAGTGTTGAGGGAATTATTTGTTTAGCAGAGTGATGGCTTTTGGGGAAAAACTGTTCTTGTATCTAGTTGTTTTGGTGTATGGCATCGTGTATCTAGTTGTTTTGGTGTATGGCATCTATGGCATCGTTTTGAGGGAAGGAATTGAAACAGTTTATGTCCTGGATGAGGGGTCTAAATATTTTCACAGGCCTCTTTTTGACTCGTGCAGTATACAGGTCCTCGATGGAAGGCAGGTTGGTAGTAATTTTTAAATAATTCTGAGTGTCCAGTTACTGTAAAGTGTTAGCCCCCACCTTAATTGAAATTTAGCAAACTAAGAAACAAACACGCTGAGGGTCCTAATCACTGAAAGGTTTCCCCAGTACAAGCTCCAATTAAAATGAATGGGTACTTCTATTGTTCCTATTTAGTCTGTGAACTTGTATAAGAAAGCTTTCTGCTATATTGTGCTGCTATCGGTTGGCTATCCTTTTCATAGTACTATGCAAGAGATAAGAGCCAACAGCAAGAACTCTGTAGCTATCTTAATAGACACCATTACCATGCCAGTAACGATTGGCAGCCAATTCCTCCACAGCTTGTAATCGGACCATTTTATCATTTGATTGACTTCTTTTCACAAGCAGCCACAAGGCATAATCGCGTTCTTCTGCATCAAGGGTACTGAAGCGTTCTTTACCAAACATAAAATAGGACAAGATTATTATAGTCACTTTATTTCCATCTTTGTATTATCAGCAGTACTGTAACTAAAGATCATATTTTTAGAGTAATATTTTAAAGCGTGCAATTTCCTGGATCTACAATTAGGTGGCATTACCTAATTGATCTTGGCTAATCCAACAAGCTAAATGGGCAAATCCTTTGTTGATACACCTTCAGAGAACACTAGAGCTACGGTCAAGATTGGGTTACAAAAACCTTCCAAGAAAAAGGTAATTGTAAAGAACTTTGGTAAAAATTGTCAAGAAAACTATACATCAGTATCAAGTTTGATTTGAAGGAGACTTTTCCTAATGTAAACGATTGACCATTCAATTGAATGGAGTGCTTTGAATCTGGAAACTGAAGTTTAGTGGCCATAACCAATGATTTTGACTTGACCCTGCACAAAACTGTAAAACAAGAATATATATGGAACTACATTTAAGTACCCAAAAGTCATTTTTGCATCCCAATGAGAACACTATGGATCCCAGAGTAGGAAGGACCTTCAAGTTAACATGTATTCAGTGAAGAAATCCAAATTAAATCTTTCCTGCCAGATGGCAATCAAGTCTTTGTTTGAATGCATCCAGTGAAGCACATTGCTTGACTGAATAATTGCTACTATTGTACTGATTTTAAGCCTAAATCTCTGAATAAACATTGACAAGAAATTTTATTTATAAAATTTATAAAATAGCAATTGGTTTAAAAATAATAAAACATTTAAGCAAAACTAGCATGTTCAGAGCCAATTCCAAATATTAAGTCACTGTTCCAGGTAACAAATGTCAGCCAGATAACGGCAGTTTTGCACTCTAGTTATATATATAGAGGGAGAAATTTATTGATTTCCCAATATGCAGAAACAGCATTGGGTGGAGGGAATGGAAAAAGCTATATCTGTTTAGTTTCTGCATGGTATAAATTGTTAAAGGTACAGAGCTTCTGCTTTTTAAAAAAAATAAGTTTTAGATTATAGCACATTGACAATAGCATTCTTAAAGCTTTTACCAAACCTACCATCAAAGGGCTTTTGGAAAATTCGAGCATGCATTTCTATAATTTTCTTGGCTGCTCGGTGAAGCTTCTTTCTCACTTGATATATAACTCCTACAAAAACAATAGAAAGTTTATTTTGGTCAAATGATATATTGTCCATCCTATATATAGACCAGAGCAGGAAAACGATTCTACATGGGGAGGACACTGTAAAATCTCCATTCCCGCACCATTCCTGGGGGAAGGTTACCACTGGTTCTCCGAACTACTCAAAATTTCCGCTACCGGTTCTCCAGAACTGGTCAGAACCTGCTGAATACCACCTCTGATCCTGGTCCTAGCTGAGTAAATTTCCAGTAGAATATAATATTAAAAAATGAGAAAAACATTCTTATGAGGAAAAAAAGAGAAAATCTGATAAAGTTCTAATAACAGAAGAGAACATGAGTAAATTTCTTCCATAGTCTCTAGTGTAATGTTCTTCCTTAAGTATCAGGATGAATATACTATTCTTCTAGTTCTTAACTACTATTTCTTATATTCAAGCTGTGTTTCTAAATCCTTCTACTTTCAACAATAACCTAGTTTTTCTTACCTTGATAGTCACTTTGATCTAAAGAAACTGTTTGTAAGTAGATGTAGGATTTCAGTTTTTCTTGTTGTACCACTTGGGTATCAAAACTGAATAATTTTCTTAAAGTCAAAACTTCGTAAGTAGCAAATATACAACCACTTAAAGAAGAAGAAGACAGACATCAGTGTAAGCATTAAAGTACAAATTTAAATCTGAAATGTCCATTCACTTCCTTTTGCCCACTTTCTTCTCTCTCTCCCTCTCTCATAAGCAGAACTCTCTTGATTCCTCTTGATAGCCAAACTAGGCAAATCAGGATATGCTTGTGGGATACACTTTCCTTGCTACCTTCTAGCCATGGTCCCATAATCATATCCTGATGCTAGAAACTAGCAAGGCAGTAAATCAAGCAGAGATGGTGGAGGAAGAGTGTTTCAGATCAGCGCAAGCACCAGCACATTATCATCTCACAGTCTTTATTGCTTTATAAATATAGGAAACAATAAATAAATACATGAACTGAGCAGGAAACACAATCTGCTTCTAAATTTAAATTTCAAATAAGGAAAGGCAAAACTTGTTTGTGGGTTAGAAACCAAGAGAAAAAGACGGGAGGGGAGGGGAGAGGAGAGGAGGAGAGGGGAGAAGAGAGAAGAGGCCTGTCAATTCTTTCAAAACTCACAATTTTTAAAGTTTTCAGGAATGACTGATTCACATAGGTCACATTTAAGGGTCCAGATTTTAAATGATAAAATAATGCAGGAATTTACTATTATTGTGTAATATATTAAAGAGGGTCATACTTAATTTTGCACCTGCTTTCAATACTAGATAATATTGTCAACATTACTATATAAGGTGAAGGTTCCCCTCGCACATACGTGCTAGTCGTTTCCGGCTCTAGGTGGCAGTGCTCTGTAACAGAGATGTAACAAAGCCAAAGAGCCAGCACTGTCCGAAGAAGTCTCCATGGTCATGTGGCTGGCATGACTAAAGCCAAAGACGCATGGAACACTGTTAATGTCAGCTTTCCAGAAAACCACAACTCCAACAAATAACTCCGAGCCACCAAAGTGATCCCTATTTTTCTACTTGCATTTTTACATGCTTTCAAACTGCTAGGTTGGCAGAAGCTGGGACAAATAACAGGAGCTCACTCTGTTATGTGGTGCTAGGGATTCGAACCGCTGAACTGCTGACCTTTCTGATTGACAAGCTCAGCATCTTAGCCACTGAGCCACCGTGTCCCCCACTGAGCCACCGCTCAGTGAGGGACGCGGTGGCTCAGTATATACTATATTACTATATACAAGGCATTTAAACAGTTACAACATACTATATATATATTCCACCAGAAGAGTTGAAAAAAATAACACATTAAACACCTACATACTATGATACTTTAGTTTTATTCTAACAACAAAATGGATATCTGCCAATAAAAACTTACCCCAGAATAAGTGAGCCTGTTAACTTCACAATTTTTCCTTAAAAATTAAAAGCTTAGTATCAATGCATGTCCAAAATAGATGTTTTAGTATAAACATTATATCAATAATGTGACATATACAGAGGTTAAGCTAACTGTAATTAGTTATTATTAAAATAAATACATGTGAATCCATTTAACTTCTAATTTAAATATTGCTTATTTATTAACTATTTTTATGCTAACACAATAAAAAAAGATTCTTGGAAATTCTCATAGAAAAATAAAGGAATATAAAACAAGCCCCATGCAAAAATAAAAACAATGCTGCATTAATTCAAAGAGAACAAAAAGATGAATTAAAATAAATTAGGAGAAGGCTCTACAAAGGAACTCAATCCTTAACAGCTTGTGGAAAATCAGCAAAGAGGGAATCAGACTGATCTCTATAACACCAGCACTACAATAGGAAAGCAGAGCCTTCTTGTCTCATGAAACTGTGGGGTGCATATCAGTATCTAATTGCTATAGCTAGTTGGCTGGACCACAGATGGTTGGAGAATCTGGCTCTGAATATATCCAGGTAACAAGCCATGAAGGGCTTTATAGATGAAAACTGGCACCTTAAACTGGATCTCGAAATCAATTGGCAACCAATGCAGAGCCCACAAAACTCTAAAAAGCTCCCATACTTGGAACCCAAAAGCTTACAATTTTGAATATTTATAGCCTGCTAGAGGAACAGAGATATAAGAGCATGAGGTAGTTTTATCAAGCCTTTAAGCCTCAAGTAAGGCCCGAAATATTTGATTTAATGGTAATTTAATTAATTCCTATTCGAGGTTATGCAAAACTAAGTCCTATTTCTTAGGGAGAAAGTGACAGCTCTCTGTAAGTCTAACCACTTAAAGAAATTTCTATAGTTGGGAGTATACCCACTCAACTTGATGAGATTATTTCTGGGAAGCATCCTTCGGACAACAAAACACAATTTGGCAAACTAACCTGGCAACAAAGCTCAAGTTGTGAATTTAGAAGAATTTACTTCTGAATAAACTTGTACAAAATTAGATTTACAACACTGGTTTCCTCCATTAGCCTTTTATGTATGTATGATCCTCCCACCATCATCCTGAAAAGTTTTAATATGGAATACACATCATTGGCTTCATAAAATATTCTAAACAGATTTTATCATTGTAATTCATAATTTCATTTATATTACTTGTTCCAAAAATCAAATGGTACAGTATACATTCTTACAGATGACCTTATCAACATTTTTCTATCTAAAATTTCTATCAATTTTTTTAGATGGCTATCATTTCATATTATGTGCTGGAAAAGTAAGGTTTTCAACCTTGTGTTTAGGAAAATGTTCAACTCATTCTTAAATATAGCTTAAATATTTAAATAGCAATGCGGAGTGATGTCACTTAAGATCCTGCTCAGAGATCCTACCTTCAAATAGACTTTATATTTCCATTGGTATATATATATTTCCTTTTACAGAAAAAAACCCAATAAATCAAAAGTTCATCATCAGTCCTATGGAATGTGGTGATGAGCATTTTTCCAAAGACTGCTATTCTAACTATCTCTAGGAAGAATATAATTTCCACCCCTTATGGACTGTAAAAAACATGATTTATGGTTTTGATGATTAGACAGATTATAGAAAGAAGAGTCATGATGCAGCTTTAGAGAAATAGTTTTAATCTTAATTGTACTTAGCACCAATATGAAGAAAATGAGAAACATCCACTTCATATCTTTCTTTACCCTTTTTCTTTTCTTTTTCTGCATTTTTAGCCTTTTCTTTTCTCTTTTTTCTTCTTTTTTTCTTCTATTTTACTTTGTATTATTTATTATTCTTAATAAAACTTTCAGATAGATATATGGTATATACTGTATTTTGCCTAGGTAGGCAAAGAAGAGGTGTGCAGCAAACTCCAAATGATGAATTTATCTGGGAAATCATACAAATAAAATAATGATAGAGTCAGGCTTGTAAAAATAGAATTGCACTTACTGATATCTTTCCATGATTGATCAACTTTCCATGTTGAACCTAAAGTTCCTATCTTTCTATAGCAAACCACACAATAAGCAGCCAGAGACATTCTGTAAAGGTACAAAAAACTGATTTAGCACATCAACAGGATTTTAAAAATTATTTTATGTATCAGTTATGCCCTAATCTAATAGAGAGACAGCATAGCATTCTTTCCAAAAACATATTTCAAGTTTAGTACAGGATTTCATAATTAAAAACCAAACAAACCCTTCAGGACTCTTTCAAAGGAAAAAAGAATATCATTTTCCAAAATGTTAATATGGAAAGCCTTCCCTTCTGAATTTAAATGATTCATCTCACAAGCCAAAATAATATATTTTGCTTTACTGTATTTTTTATAAGGTAATTATTTTGGCTGTCCATGTACACTGGAAAAAAGAGAGATTCAGAGACATAATGACCAATTCACTGAAATCTAATATATTTGCTGCAAATCTATAGAAAATTATTGGATCTTAAAAATTCTGTGCAGATTCAGTACAAGGAATAGAGCAGAGACCAATCAAATTTTTTGGGGGTAAGATGTTCTACTGATATGGTATCATTTAATTCAAAATCATGCTGTCAATACTTTTGCTGCTTATTCCATGGTTAACTTTACCAGTTTACTCAACTAATTTGGGGAGTTTGTATGTTACACTGCATATTAACTAGTTTTGCTCAATAATCTTGGGTAAAATAAGGCAAGATGGTCTTCAGTTCAGTAAGAACTAAGGACACTCAGATTTTCAGTATAAATCTACATGTATGAATAGATCTGGAGTTTTTTTTAAAATAAAACCCAGATTTGAGGTTTTTTTAAAAAAATAAAAAAATAAGAGATCTGGGTTTTTTAAAAAAATAAAAAGGTATCACTCAAAACACCTAAATGTGCCATATATGAAGATAAAAAGTTTTTAAACCAACTGCAGGTTCTAACCATTTTTTTTCCATTCGCAGTACAGCCATGGAACCATAAAAATAAAGCTGGTTAGCCAATGAAGCTTTGTTTGTGAGAATGCCATCTGACTCCAGGGAAAACAACAGTGCTGCCCGGGCATTTCAGTTTTGCAGTGACTTGCACGCTCAACTTTCCAAACCTGATTTAACTGCCTTGCAGATGTTTTTCTCCAAACAGAGTGTGGGAGGGGGTGACTTAATTTCATAGCTGAATAACCACATTCATTAGGAAAAGAAATATTTTATTCAGAAAAGAAAATCATCGCGCTTCTCCCTTACACACCCTGGAAATAAAACACGCCTACGGTGCACACTCTGAAATGAAATTGCAGCAGAGGCGCTTTTTAGCCTTTAGCGAACGTGCAAAAAAAAAAGATTGCAATTCGCGAACAGCATGGAAATGCCCCAGTTGTCCTAATTTTAGGGGTGCATGGATGGATGGATGGATAGTCCATCACTGCTGATTACAACTATCGTTATATAATAATGGACAAATGAATTAAACGGGCATCCTTCGCAACATTACTCCTTAATTCAGGGATTTATCCGGCTAGGCAAGGCAGGTTTCTCCAGCCCCCGACTTCACAACCACGGACCAGGTTGGCCCCAACCACCGGTCTTCCTCCTCTTCTCCTCCTCCTCCCCTACCTGCCCATCTCGGATCCCCGTCCCACTGTCAACGACGAAGCCTTGCCATACCGCCCACGCTCTGACGTCAACGCGACCCATCTTACGTCACCCGGAGCGCCGCCCCTCACGAGGAGCCACCCAATCCAAAGACTATATAGAAGGCGCCTGCGCAGTTGTGGCTCTTGCGTCGGAGTCGGCGCTCCTTCCGTCTCCCACTTCTTCCGGTCGGGGGGAAACGGGAGTGACCTGGTGTGTTCGTCGCCAGGGCAACGTTGCTGGACGGGTGAAGCACGATTCAGTGTTTTGTTAGCTTGAACTCAGTGGTTGTTTCCCCCCCCCCTCCTTTCTCTTTCTTTCCCAGTTTATCCCTCGTTCACCCTCGTATCTCCGGCATTAAGGGCTTGCCTTTCCGCAGGGCAACGTAGACGTCAGGTTTTGCGAATCCTGTGTAGCGTAAAATAGTTGCTGGCAGCTACTCTCTTTCACCTTAGTTTTATCCGGGGTAGTTGCACACTAAACCTCATCAATCTGGCCGAGGATGATGGGAAGTGCACTTGCAACCTGCCTGGAAGATGCAGGTAGTTAGGGTTGCCAAATGCTCTGGTAAACCATACCATTTCCTCCCTGAATTAGCAATAGCACTTAGACTTATATACCGTAAAGCATTCATAGTGCTTTTCAGCCCTCTCGAAGCGGTTTACAGAATCAGCCTATTGCCCCCAACAATTTAGGTCCTCATTTTACCCACCTGAGAAAAGATGGAAGGCTGAGTCAACTTTGAGCCTGGTGAGATTCGAACTGCCAAATTGCAGGCAGCTGGCAGTTCAGTGTAGGATTAGGGCTACCAAATCAGGACTACAAAAATCCCAAATACAGGGTAGAGTTTTCTCTGAATCTTCGTTGCCTTGAAATTGTCCAACCCAGATCAAAACATAAAGTGACTTTGAATGAAAGTGGATTTAGTTCTAAACCAGTACTGTAATAAGCTAGACATAAATATGCCAGATTCAAGATAGAAGTAATACATGTTATTGATAGGGCTTTTGTTTTCCCTTTTTTTTAAAATTAAAGCATATTAAAATATTGAAGTGCATTCAGAATTATATTAAATAATTTATTACATTCAAAGTTACTATGTTAATTAACTATACAGGCATATTCTCATTGTCTTGAAAATCAGTAAATCTGAATTCAGCTTAACTTTTGCTCAATTGAATTGGCTAGGATAGAAGCTTACCCATCAGGACGTTTGTATTGATTTTTTTCAGTTTAACATTGTATCCTTTTCTACAAATAGTCTTTCCGTTTGATGTTTTAGGTATCTGACATTGTGAAGAAGATGGTGAATGTTTTGAAAGGGATACTTATAGAATGGTAAGCAAAAATATATTGGCAATGCAAGTGCTACCCCAAGCTTGTAAGAAATTTGGTAGCATCAGCAAGAAATGTTTATGTTGTGACATGGTTACAAGAAACACTGAGTTTGTAATCAAGTGAAATAGCAAAAATAGCATACTCTTGTTTTAAAGGAATACTATGTTACTGAAATGTGATATAGTACAGTATATTATTCATGTAACCTATAAACTAAAAATATTTGGTATGCCTAATTCATATTATAAAGATAAAAATTATTCTGACAACAGCCTCATTTTCTTATTACACTTAAATTTAACTGGCTTAAGCTTGTCAATATTGCCTTTAACTCTAATTTCTAAAGGTGTTACTTGTTTAAATTCCAGATTGTAAATAATTCACTTAACCAGCAGAGTGGGCTGAGACAGCAATTACAATCTTCTGCTACTATTTTCCCTTTATGTAAACTGAATAATGTATGTACAGTTTAATATTAATTTTGAGGACCTTAGGCCTCGTGAGCAATTGCCAGATTAGAACCACCAAGGCATGGTTCTAAAAGTACCATATCCAAGCTACAGCAATCCAGATAATCACTGGAGGTTAGCATCAAGTTAAGGGATTTGTGCAACTATTTGCTGCATCTAATGATCATCTAAATTTTTAAATCCTGTTTAGTATTCATTAAGAACACACCGCAAACAAAACAAAAATGGATGGGTACTAGTTTTTGTTTTTTTTTAAAGAGATTTACCTTCAGAAAGAGCAGTGTATGCATAGAAATAATGAGGCCCAATTAAGATGGAAGTTTAATTCAGAGTAAAAGAAAAGGTTTTGAAAGAAACCAGAAGCAGGTAATTGCTTTCAGCTCAATTAAATAAAACCAATGCCTAATGTAATTCTAGCTACATACCCAGTATATACCCTAGATATCTAAATCTAGGTTTGTTTGTTTTTTCATGCATATTTGAAAATTGCACTCCACAACTTGGGTGGGAGGTTTACTTTCCTTTACTTCCTTTATTACAGCCAGTGCTATAAGATTCCAGCAAACTACTCCTTGGTATTTAATTTCAAAGGAAAAGAAGTAGTTTTTGGCTCAAAGATTTGGCCAGCCAGTCTTTTGCTGTATTACAGATTGACGTGTGTACAGTATGATAGTAGATGTATTCAGAAAATTTCTAGCAGTTACTATGTGGTTGTGACACAAAATGAATATATTTCTTAGGCTAGTGATATCCAAAGAGGTATTTCATAAAATGCATTAGCACAAACAATGCACTTTTCCTTGAAGTACTATAGCAGCTGTTTCTGTATGCATGTACAAATAGCACTTCTTTGGGGACATACAGGCAGAGACAAAAATGGACAGCTTTAAAAACAAACCCATGTAAGCCTTGTTAAGAGTGCATCTGCCTTAACATTTTGAAGAAAAAACAAAAAAAATGTTTGATAGGTTTACTTCTTTCTCAGAATCTCTTCCAGATTGGGAAATGTTATTGGAAAAAGTATCTATTCTGAATTGATTTTACATTGAAAATTTTAGATGTTTGACTAACTATTTCTAAATTTAACTTTTTTTGATTATATAAAATCTGATTATGTTGATGATTGTCCCAACACAACCCTGTGATTGAATAAATAACATAAATGAATTTTTTTTAATTCAATGTTTTAGCCTAGATTCAGAACTGCAGCTAACAAAATTGCCATAGTGAATGGATTGTGCTATGAAAGGGACAATTGGAACATAGCCCTTGGATTCATCTTGCATACATAGTCCCATTTGATAATCATCTGTTGCCTTGTATGGATTGGGATCTTAATATTAAACTCAGGTTGTTCCTGAAAGATAGAATCCAGACGATGATAATACTTGTTGATATTTCTCCTTGGTTTATGGTCAAGGAATCTACAAGATTCAATCTTGTGCTTTGCTATACAGGTAGTCCTAACCCCTTGTTCAGCAACCGTTTGGAGTTATTAAAGTGTTGAATGAGTGGTACAGCCTGATGTCAGTTCTGTTGATCCCAGTACAAGCTTACATGTACAACAGTTGTAGCATTCTGCAATCACATGATTACTGTTTGTGACCTTCCCACTGGCTTCCCACAGGCAAATGGGAAGCCAGTACAGAAAGTGACATGTCACTCTGCTAAATCTCTTACACCAAGGAGCAGCCAACCCCATATTGCCCTGCTTGCATTACATTGATTACTTGTGTGCCCTGCAGCAACTACGCCAGGTCCTGCTCTACTGGTATCCTTATGTTCCCTTCCCCCACCCAACAGCAGCCACATATCAGCCTGCCAGCTTGTTTGCAAACTATCTGGGAATTGCAACTTGCTGATTTCCCCACTGACTTTGCTTGCAGATCCTCACTTAGTGATCCACAAAGCCTCTTAATGATGACAATGGGGACTGATGGGATTGCCATCGCAAAGCATGACTTCATGCTTTATGACCGCTCATCTTAGCAACAGAAATTATAGTCCCAATTATCTTTGTTAGTAGAGAACTATCTGTTTTACATGAAACTGTATCTGATTACATTAAACTGTTGGAAATTGTCATTCAGAGACTGGGCTAAAAAGTCATCACTATGCCCTTGATATTTGTATGTATTGATGTTGAGGACATATTTAAAACCACATTTAATCATATTAAAAATTGTTCTCATCTCATTGGATGAAACATTCTAGTTGAACATAATCCCAACTGTTTGCACTCAATTCCAATAGATGGAATATACTCATTCTATTTGATTGTGGTTTGATGGTTCAGCCTTTCTTGGATAAGATTGCGCTTCTCTCAAAATATCACATTTGAAGTTGGCAGTGTTCCTTGGCTTGTATTCTCCTGCTGGAATATATCCATGAGAAGGAGCAATCTTTTCTGACCTTGTACTTTAGATTTTACTTGATGACAGGACTTTGTTACAATTATTCATGGCTTAAATACTTCCTGGATAGAATGTTAGGTTATATGCAAAGCTAACCTTGAAAAGTATTAGAAATTGCAGTGACTGCAGAACATATGGACTAAAGTAGGGTAACCAGAATATGCTGTACCTATTTTACTAAATTCACAGTTGTCACCAGTCTCTTTCCATCACTGATTAAATTTAACATTCACAGCCTTAATAGTGTTGTTTCCTAGGAATCTTAACAATGCTACTTCAGTGCATTTTGTCATACGAACACCTGAGTTTTCATCTATCTAAGGCATAGCAGATGTTTTTTGGAACATGGCGCTGTCTATGAAATATCCTCCCCAACTGGAGATGGCCAAGATCCACACAGTATAACTTTGGATGTTTGGTCAGGCTTGGATATTTGGGAGAACCCTGAAAATACTTGATCTCAACATATTAGGACTGTTTTCATAATAGTTTTCATTTCATGAAATTTTTCCAATCTCATTATGTTTTATGAATTTCTGCATGCTTTATAAAGTTTATGAGGTTTAATGCATTTCATAAATGTGGTTTTATTGTATTATATTGACATTTGCATTGTAACTATTGCAGCTTAATTCATTGAAGTTTATGTGACATTACCATAATTTTATCCCACAGTGACCCCGCGATGAAGCAGTTCCTGCTGTACCTAGATGAATCGAATGCCCTGGGAAAGAAGTTCATCATACAAGACTTAGATGAAACCCATGTCTTTGTGTTGGCTGAAATGGTTAACTTCTTGCAAGAGAGAGTGGGAGAATTAATGGACCAGAACTCTTTTCCTATTACACAGAAATAAAAAAATGAGGCTGGATATGGATACACATCAAACTGAAAGCCTGTAAATTTTTCTGTGAATTAATTTAAAGCAGATTGAATAGTCATTATGAGAAGTGAGCTGCACATATATCAAGAATTCTCTTTTATTATTTTCAGTTTCAACCTGTCTTAAAACTGCAATTATGCTAATAGCTCACTCTGTTTGCTAGTGCAAATTACTGTAGAATTTGGAATTATTTAGGATGTTCTTTGCAGAGGTGGGTGCAATGTTAACAATGATATTCAGTTGCTCTCTGTAATATTCCCTCATAGAGAAAGCCACTGTAAAATAAAGTGTGTATGTTTTTAATAGAATATGAAGGAGTTAGGTTTTTTTTTTTATTTCCAAGGAAGACTGTTAAATTTTGTAATTTGAATACTCTTGAAACTGTACAGATAGCTCTCCTCTTACAACCACAATTGAGCCCAACATTCCAGTTCTAAGCGAGACGGTTGTTAAGTAATTTTTGTCTCATTTTGCAACCCTTCTTGCCACAGCTGTTAAGTGAATCATTGCAGTTGTTAAGTTAGTAACAGGGTTGTTAAGTGAAACTAGCTTCCCCATTGATTTTATTTATCAGAAGGTCAAAAAATGTGTTCACATGACTCCTCCCTCCCCCCCAAACTTTGCAACAGTCAAAAATACGAATCAGTCGTCAAGCGTCTGAATGTTGATCATGTGACCATGGGGATGCTACAAAGCTCACAAATGTGAAAAATTGTTGCAAGTACTACTTTCGGTGCCTTTGTAACTTTGAACGGTTCCGAAACAAACTCTTGTAATTTGAGGACTATCTGTACATTAATAACGTGCAGACAGCATGGTGCTGAATAGTATTATTTCATAGCCTAGTGGTTTTTAATTCACAGTAGTTTCAGTGAGAATTATTCCTGAATTAATATGTATAGGATCCAGTTCAATTCAGCTGATTCAATTTAGGCACTGCCCCATTTCAAATTGGCTCTTATAAAACAGAACAAAGGAAATAATGTAATAAAGAGAAAGACAACAAGATGGCAAAACTGAACAATAACCCATAAACATATAAGCATAGCCAATGGACTCCACCACAGGTGGTATTCAACAGATTCTGACCAGTTCTGGAGAACTGGTAGTGGAAATTTTGAGTAGTTCAGGGAAAGGGCAAATACCACCTCTCACTGGAGGTTTTATTTACAGTATCCTTCCCCTGCCATGCCCACCAAGCCATGCCCACAGAACTGGTAGTGAAAAAATTTGAATCCCACCACTGGGCCCCACATCACTCAGCCCAAGGCCTGGAGAACAAAAGATTTTAAAAGCTCATTGGGATGCCAACTTGAGTGGGAGCAACTTTCCTGTTCCACATTTTATTTCATTACTACAAACCATCTAAAAATGACTAATTTTAAAATGTTCATCAATGTGTGACTGTTCAGACATGTAGTACTGTCCCATGTATATTTATTCTAGGGTCCTACTGTACATCAATGTCATTTTACTATTTATGAAATGATACTTCCAAGCAAATATCCATATGCTTGGATTGGAGATAAGTGGCTATTGGTTTGGAACTGGGCTAAGAGTTGCCGGAAGTATCTATAGAAATTGCTCTCCCATTTTCTCTAGTGAAAGCATACATTCATGGAAAAATTAGCTTTAACTCTATCTTTGTAAATGGTTGGAAACTACTATAGTATTTTATATAGCCTTTTAGAAGTTTTAAATAATTCTCAAAAAATATGTTGACATATGGACTGGATGAAATATTTAAGTTTTTATGCTTATATGGGTGTTAATTTACTAATTTATTGAGCATGTAGTTTTCTCTTTCAGTCCCAGAGGTGAAATAGGAAACATTTGTGACATGCACAAAGTGTTAAATAGAAATAAACAAAAGTACTTGAAAATAGATTAATTCTAGGCAGATGTTAAAATTGACTTCTAATTAAAAGTGTTCATGGCCCATAGCTGAATAATATTTTCAGCAAAGATTTTTAAAAACTTGTCAAAGAGTTTTAATGTCACATCGTAGTTTGTTGTTGATAAATGTCAGGATGTACAAAGGTTGTACATACAGTACTATGCTACATACACATTATACAAAACTCTTACCCTTAAACCTTTGTTTCCCTATTTTATCCTTTTTTGTATTATTTGTCCATCAGTCTCCAAGAATTGACACTATTGAATGGAAGAAGAAAAAGATACGGGATACTTAAGTTAAAGTCCTCCCCTGGTTGGTGGGATAGCTTTGACTGAGACACTTTTTCTCAACCCAACCCAACCTGCAATAGGGAAAATATTCACAATCTGCAATGTAAGACTCAGTTGCAACCTCTTCATACCAGAGCCTCTTCAGAAGTTGTAAACAAGGTGTGATTATTGTGATTTTTTTTCTATTCAGTCATGTCCTGTTCTCAGAGAGTGCCTGGAAAAGTCCCTGCAATTTTCTTGGGTAGCTTTTCAGAAGTGGTTTGCCATTGCCTTCTTCCTAGGGCTGAAATAAATGATTGGCTCAAAGTCACCCACTTAGCTTTGTGCCCAAGGGATATTTCATGTTAGACCATATATAGTCTATAGATTGCACTTGAGCTAAAGTTCGACAATCAAATCAAAATTACAAACATGGTTTGATACAGAACAGATCAACTGTGCCTCTTAAGCTTGAAACCACAAATCGTGATTTGGCATATTATTTCAAGGTCATATTTTGGAATAGTACTTTTTCTCCCCAAAACAAATGAATTGTTTAATATTTTTATCCGGGATAGTTCCTGTTAGAGCATATATAGTTTATTGCACTTGAGCTAAAGGTTTGATAATCAGATCTAAATTTACAAACATGGTTTACTGTGCCTCTCTTAAGCTTGAAAACACAAATTGTAGTTTGTGATTTGGGATATTATTTTTAAGGACATACTTTGGAGTAGCACTTTGGGGAAAAAAGAAACTTCCCAAATGTAAACTCTCTACATGCCTGGAATACACAGCAGTTTGCTTATACCTTATGGTTCTATACCTGGAAGCAAATCTGCAGCTTTTATATTTATTTCCATGCTAATAATTTGTTTTCTATCTGAATTTATCACCAGCATAACATCACTTTATATAAAATTCTCTAGTGCATATTAATACTAAAAAGAAACATAAACCATTGCTAGCTTATTCATTTCATTCTAAATATTCTGAAATGTGATTTACTAAAATGATTAAGCACAGATGATATTGTACATAGCATAATTCCATTCAGGAATCAATAGTTGGAAACTAGAAAAAAAGAGTTATCTTTTTCTAGAATTTGCCACCTAAATTTTTTGCTAAATTCTGCTACACCAACAGGGTGAACTCGAACTATGAATACATGAAGGTAAATATGATATAGTTGGAAGAACAGAAACTTGGTGGGATGAAACCTATGACTGGAACGTACTGGTAGAAGGATACAAATTATTCAAAAAAACCAGACCCCATAAAAAAGGAGGTGGAGTTGCACTGTATGTAAAGGACCACTATATTGCTACAGAAATGCATGAAACCAAAGATGAAAACCTCCTAGAATGCATATGGGTATCAATATAAAAGAAAAAAAGAATGACATGGCCATAGGTGTATATTATAGGCCACCCTATCAAGCAGAAAAAATAGATGTCCTTTTCCCCAGCCAACTAACAAACATATGCAGGAAACACACAACAATAGTAATGGGAGACTTCAATTATCCTGATATCAATAGGAAAACTAATTCTGCACCAAGTGAGAAATCAAATAAGTTCCTAACCAACCTAGCTGACAACTTTGTTGTCCAAAAGGTAGAGGGTGAAACTAGAGGGACAGCCATACTGGACTTAATTCTTACAGAGAAGAAGTGATAGAGCGAGTTGAAACTGCAGGAACCTTGGGTGGGAGTCACCATGAATTCAACACCACACAAACACAAGCAACAGAACACATTGACACCAGAGTCTTGGATTTTAAAAGAGCTGATTTCAATAAACTCAGAACTTGGGAAAGATTCCATGGATGAAAATCCTAAAGGGGAAAACAACTCAAGAATCTTGGGAAACTCTAAAAAGTATGATAATAGAAGCCCAGACCAGCACAATACCACTGAGAAAGAAAAACAAGAAATCCAAGAAGAAACCAACATGGCTGCACAAAGATCTCTGGCAAATTGAAAGAAAAAAAGGACAAGTACAAAAAAATGGAAAGAAGGACATACAACTAAGGCAGAATATCAGCAGATAGCCAGAATCTGCAAAGACGAAGTCAGGATAGCAAAGGCTCAGAACGAACAAAGACTTGCAACAAAAGTCAAAGATAATAAAAAAAATTCTTCCAACATATAAATAACAAGAAAAAAATCAAGGAAACAGTTGGTCCACGAAAGAGAGAGGATGGCAAGGAAGTAACAGGCAACAGAGAGAAAGCAGAACTGCTTAACTCATTCTTTGCATCTGTCTTCACACAAAAAGAAAATATACCTCAACCCACCAAAAACGTAACTGTAAAAGACAGACCAGAAATGAAAGTTAAAATAAGCAAAAAAATAGTAAGAGAATACCTGTCTGATCTTGATGAAAACAAATCACCAGGGCCTGATGGATTATATCCCAGAGTTTTAAAGGAGCTGGCAGAGGTCATCTCAGAACCACTGCACCATATCTTTCAAAAATCCTGGAGCACCGGGGAACTACCAGAGGACTAGAAAAGAGTTGATGTGGTTCCCATCTTCAAAAAAGGGAAAAAAAACAGACCCAGGAAACTATAGACCAATCAACCTAACATCAATACCTGGGAAGACACTGGAAAAGATAATAAAGAAACAAATCTGCCAACATCTAGAAACAAGTAAAGTAATAACTAGCAGTCAGCACGAGTTTGTTAAAAGCAGACCATGCCAAACCAATCTTATTTCATTCTTCAACACAGTGACTAAATTAGTCGACCAGCAAAATACTGTGGACATAATATATTTAGATTTCAGCAAGGCATTCAACAAAGTAGACCACAAACTACTTCTTAGTAAGCTAGAAAAAAGTGGAACAAATAGCACCACCACTAG